CACAAATACAGCCTCTTTGATCTGCTAATTTAATCCACTGGGCTGTAGGACTTCAGCCTCTCCTGCCAGGTCCACACACCTCAAGGCCAGACCGCCTTTTCTGAATCTCCCCATGCTGCTCTTTTAAAATTTTTTTAAATTTGCTTTATTTTGTTTATTTGAAAGGTAGAGAGATACAACAGGGAGAGCAAGCTCTCTTATCCACTAGTTTACTCCCCAAACGCCCTGTGGCCAAAGCCTGAACCAGGCACTCAATCAGGACCTCCCCTGTGGATGATAGCAGGTCAAGTACTTGAACCATTATCTGTTGCCTCCCAGGGTGCACATTAGCAAGAAGTTGGAAGGAAAGCCAATCAGGCACTCCAGCATAGGATGCAGGCTTCCCAAGAGAAAAGTTAGCTATACTGCTCTTGAGGGAGGTCAAGACAGTCAGCTTCTCTGGTCTTCAGTCTGTGCTTAGCTGTAGCAGTTAATCAAAGGTATGCTGATATGTGGTCAAGGGTCATACAAGCCTATGCTAACAGTAAAGTCACCTCTTTCATAATTTTTTCTTGCCAGCTACAACGTTGTACCCATTAACAAGAGACTTCAGCTCTTAGACCATATCTTCAACAGTTTTTCTTTGTCTTGAATGTCTAAAGTAGCACAATAAATGGGAAATAATGAAATACAATGGAGCCACATATTTAATTTTAAATTCACTAAAATGCAAGAAGAAATAGGTGAAATTGATTTTAATATATTTTAACTAAATATAAAATAATTCCAGGATACGTGATCAATATAAAAATTATTGAGGTACTTTAGATTATTTTTTCTTAACAGATCTTCAAAATTCAACATAGATTTATAATTAAAGCATCTCATTTCAGAGTAGCCATACTTCAAGTGCTTTATCCAGGCCTCTCATGTGGTGACAGGGATCCAAGCACTTACACTTGAATTTGCTGCCTTCCATGGTGTGTGCATTAGCAGGAAGATGGATGGCAAACAGAGAAGCTGGGACATGAACCAGGCACTTTGATATGGAATATGGGTGTCCCAAATGGCAACTTAATGACTGTGCCACACACCTGCCCCATGGCATCTTTCACTTTGCATAATGCTTTTGAGATTTATCGTATGCATATCAGCAATTTCATGAAGTTTTTGATAACTTGCCATGGTATGTGTGTATCACATTTTGTCGACTTGTCAGTTTGTGTTCTTTTGGATTCTCTGTAGTTTGAGGTTATTGTGATGTTGCATTTATAGAGCAAAAATTCTCCCTTGTCTGTATCAAGGATAATCTTTGCAGACATGAAAATGTTTATGTACATCTTGAGGAGATGTAATGGACCTTCCATTAAAATAGTAAATATAATGCCACCACAATTATTTCTGGACATTACCAAGTTGATAACATAGCACATGTGTTTCCATATTCCAATTTCAACTGTAACTTCGGCAGTAAGTCATAATTTTAAATCTATTTTAATGTTAATTGCTCATTTCTCATGTCAGACACTGTGCTAGGCTCTAGCATACATGGAAGATCAAGAGAATTTGGGTCTCTGCCTACATAATCCTAATTTGAAAAAATAATTGCATATTTATTTATTTGAGAGGAAGAGAGACAGAGATAGAGAGAGAAAAAGCTCCCATCTGCTAGTTCACTCCTCCAAATGCCCATAACAGCCAGGGCTGGGCTAGCCTGAAGTTATGGGCTGGGACTCAAAACAAGTCTCCCAGGTGGGTGCCAGAGACCCATCCACTTGAGCTATCATCACTGCCTTTCAGGGTGCACATTAGCAGGAAGCTGGAGTCAGGAGCAGAGCTGGGACTTGAACCAAAAAGGCACTCTGATATGAGAGGCAGCACCCCAAGTGGTGCTTAACCATTATGCCAAACATTCAACCCCATGATACTAATTTAATAAAGGAAATTAGGCCCTCATAGTGTTGTGTGCTAAGTGAGGTGATATGTCTATGATAAGAGATGCTAAACTGACTAAACACTGTCTCAGATAATTAGTAAATACTTCTGTAATACAAATTTGATGTCCAGAATTTTTAAATTTGTTAACAGTTATATTCTGCACCCTCTATGGAGAGGAAAAAGATAAAGGAGCTTCAGCGGCCTTTATTCAAATGGCAGCTCCACGTTTGAGCTAGCTACTTAACTTCAGTTTATACAACTTGAAATGGGGTCCAAAAGGACATACATAATATTGTTATAATGAGTTACTGAGTTATTACATACAAAAGGACGCTTGCCTAGTACAGAATGGAATTTCAATATTTACTGTTGACTTTCCTATTACTAAGCTTGACAAAGCTGATGACCCTGTGCTGTACTTGCAATAGCATCACTGAACACTAGGTGGTAGCAGGGAGGCCCTGATCTCATCACAGTGGTTCAGTCACCCTACTCAGCTATGCTTCTTTCTATAGTCTTTTCTTTCTTGTCTAGATGCTTTCGCAGGCCTCTTCTTTTAATGGGAGTGTTGTTACTTGCAGGCGATTTGATTAGTTTTTAATCTCTCAGGCCCTCAAGATGGGAAATTTGAACAGATTACAGGGCCTTGTGGTCTTGTTGCACACATTGAACCTACAATTTACTTTTTGCTGGAGGATTATCCAAAGACAAATTATGACCTTCCACCTATTCCAGCTGCCATACAATCTGTCTAGCACAATGAAGTCATGCCTAGAATTGGAGCCAGTACCCCTTCAAACAGGGGATGTGGGCTGGCTCTTTGGTAACCCAAAGCCATTGCCAACCAGGCAAACAGAGTAGACAGCTTCCAATGAGAATGATTCAATGCTAAGCAGTAGGAAAACAAAACCATAATTGAACAACTGAAAGCTTAGAAGAAAAAAAATAAACTGAGAATAAAGATAGCATTTGTCAAGATGAATGTAAGGCCTCAACTTACCTACCTCCTCACATACATGCCCCCTTGGGATCCTGTCAGGCCCCAGCAAAATCCCATCACCAAATGGGTTTTCTCTTATTTGCACTTTGAAAGCACTGGATCTCTCTAGTTAAAGTTATGAGGTTGAAGACAGATCTTTGCACTTGGACTCTGGATGGGTTAAGTTGTGCCAGCTCTTTTATTAAGTCATGATTTTATTAAGTCACTTAATGGATCTATCTTCTTATCAAATAGCTACAAATATTCTCTCTTTTTAAAAAATTTATTTGAAAAGCAGGGCTACAGAGAGAGAAAAAAAGAATTTTTCCATCCACTGGTTCACTCCCCAAATGGCCACAACATTCAGGGCTGGGCCAGGCCAGAGCCAGGAGCTGCTTCCAGGTCTCCCATGTGGGCACAGGGTCCCCAAGGACTTGGGCTATCTTCTGCTGCTATCTCAGGTGCATGAGCAGGGAGCCGGATTGGAACTGGAGGAGCCGAGACTTGAACTGGTACCTATGGGATGCTGGCATTGTAGGTGGTAGCTTAACCCACTAGGCCACAGCACCACCCCCAACAAGTATTCTTATGAGTATACATAGCTGCTCTATCAGGGCAAGACAGCAAAGGAATGTGATTTCTAAGTTATAACTGGTTACAGATGTTTTTGTTGTAAAACTACTACCTCCCCTATTGAGGTTGTTGCTGTTACTTAGAGCTTTTCTGGGAAAATGAACATAGGAGGTAAAAGGCATTTGTAGGGAGAAATCACCAGTACTACCTTCTTTATTTAATCAAAGGTTTTGTTTGTCAAGCACTATGCTAGATGTCAAGGTTATAGCTGTGAACAACAAGAACAAAATAGTCTCTCAGGGAGAGTGTTGTGGCACAGCAGGTTAAGGCATTGCTTGCTTTATCCACATCCAGATCAGAGTGCCTGGGATGGACTTACGCCTCCCCTTCCATTCTACCTTTCTGTTCACGTGCCCCCTTGGAGGCAAGGGGTGATGGTTTAAGTACTTGGGTCCCTGCCACCCGTGAGGAAAACCTGGATAGAATTCCTGGCTCCTGGCTTCAGCCTGCTCCAGCCTTAGCCCTGACTGCTAGGGGCATTTGGGGAGTAAACCAACAGATGGAAGATTTCTCCTGTCCCTCTGCCTTTTTTTTTGACAGGTAGAGTTATACAGTGAGTGAGAGAGAGAGACAGAGAGACAGAGAGAAAGGTCTTCCTTCTGTTGGTTCACTCCCCAAATGGCCGCCACCGCCTGCGCTGTGCCAATTCAATGCCAGGAGCCAGGTGCTTCTTACTGGTCTCCCATGAGGGTGCAGGGGCCCAAGCACTTGGGCCATCCTTCACTGCCCTCCCAGGCCACAGCAGAGAGCTGGACTGGAAGAGGAGCAACCGGGACTAGAACCCAGTGCCCATATGGGTTGCCAGCGCCGCAGACGGAGGATTAACCAAGTGAGCCACCGCGCCAGCCACCGTCCCTCTGCCTTTTAAATAAGTACCTTTTTTTTTTTTCAAAGTCTCTGACCTCATGGAACATACATTCCAGTGGAAGGATTCAGACAATTAAAGATATATATCAGGGATGATAAGAAGAAAACCAAAGCAGATAAGTAGCCCAGATTGATTGTATGGTTGTCACGCCTTAGATAGGCCAGACAGAGCAGACTCTTCTGATAACATGTAAGGAGTGAGTAGGTCATGCAGAAGTCCAAGTGAATGGTTGTCCTTGCAAAACAAAATGCTAAAATCCTCAGGCAGCAGTGGGTTTTGGTACTGTTGATAGGTTGTGATTTGGTGGGTTGAGAAAAGGTCAGACCGATGGTGGCTCGCACAAGGCCTCTCGTGTCCTGGTCCTCCATTTGTCCCTCTATCCACTAGGACTAAAAGGAAATCATAATCATTGCTCTAATAAGGGTAGAAACCCTTGTCAACTGGGCTGGGGCAAAGCAAACCTTAGGAATTAGAATGAGAAGCCCTTGCTACTCCAGTATCTCGCTCTTTATTTAGAATAGGACAGTTGACATCCCTTTATTCTCACTCCCTTCTTACTCTGTCCTTTTTTATTTGCTCATCTACCTTGATTCCTGCAAGCAGGACACGTTTGAGAAGCCAGAACTTGGGTGGGCAGGAGCCAGAAGAGTTGTAGCTGCAATGACTTCAGCAGTACTGGTGGACATCCAAGAGGAGGTGACCTGCCCCATCTGCCTGGAGCTCCTGACAGAACCCCTGAGCATAGACTGTGGCCACAGCTTCTGCCAAGCCTGCATCGCAGAGGACAGAGAGGAATCTGTGATCAACCAAGAATGGGAGAGCTGCTGTCCTGTGTGCCAGACCAGCTACCAGCCTGGAAGCTTGCGGCCCAATCGGCACTTAGCCAGTATAGTGGGGAGGGTCAGGGACGTGGTGTTGGGCCCAGGGAAGGAGCTGAAGGTGACTCTTTGTGCACACCATGGAGAGAAACTCCAGCTCTTCTGTAAGGATGATGGGAAGCTCATTTGCTGGCTTTGTGAGCGTTCCCAGGAGCACCGTGGTCACCACACATTCCTCATGGAGGAGGTCGCCCAGGAGTACCAGGTGGGAGCCCCAGGTGGAGAGAAGACCAAGGAACGGAGTTCTTGGCTGCAGATTTTAACTTTTCACCATGCTCTCATCTAATTTCTTTGTAGTCCTCCCATCTAGATGGAGGATAAATCTAGAAAATGCTCCAAAATCAAGAGTAGAGACTTTCTTTCTTTTTTGTTGTTGTTTTTTTTGACAGGCAGAGTTAGACAGATAGACAGAGAGAAAGGTCTTCCTTCTGTTGGTTCACCCCCCCAAATGGCCACTACGGCCGGTGCTGTGTTGATCCGAAGCCAGGAGCCAGGTGCTTCCTCCTGGTCTCCCATGTGGGTGCAGGGCCCAAGTACTTGGGCCATCCTCCACTGCACTCCCTGGCCACAGCAGAGAGCTGGACTGGAAGAGGAGCAACCGGGACAGAATCCGACGCCCCAACCGGGACTAGAACCCGGAGTACTGGTGCCGCAGGCAGAGGATTAGCCTAGTGAGCCGCGGCACTGGCCGAGACTTTATTTCTTACTTGATGCCCAGGATTGAGTACAGGGAGCTACTGGGTGCAAAGAAAGGGCTTGGTGGGTTGTGTGTGAGAGAGGGGATAGCATGGTGAGCACAGGAACAAAGTGCTTTGTGGGCAGTTCCCGCCGCCCCACCCCGAGGAAAGAGAATCATCCTGTTCCTGCAGGTTTCCATCCATCCCCTGTGCGTAAAAGATACTTCAGCATTCTCAGATTTTCATCTCAGAACAGGACAGACTTCTTCTGAGGTCAGCTTCTTCTCTGCTTCGTTCATTCAGGTCCTGCTTGACCTGTTGTGTTTCTTCCAGGAGATGTTCCAGGAGTCTCTGAAGAAGTTAAGGAAAGAACAGCAGGAAGCTGAGAAGCTGAAAGCTGTTCTCAAAGAGAAGAGGGCATCCTGGAAGGCAAGAGGAATTCCTCCTGAGGGTGCCCTGGGGCAGGATTCAGAGCAGGTCATGGACCCAAGGAGCCCTTATGCTCTCTGACCCTTCATATTATGACCAACAGAGCAGCCTTTTGTCTGTCCTTTCACGGTATCCCTTCCAAACACAAGAATTGCTAGTGTGTGGGACCTGAGTGGCAGATGGGAGGAAGGGGAAATTGCATTACAAATATATATCAAAAATAAATCTTGATCTTTGTTGACAATTACATAGGAGAGGAACCATGTCAGGGGTACCCCTTAACCCATAATTCTGATTATTTCCTGTAGTTTTTGTCTTTGGTTTCCAAGGACAGGTTATATAGAGGCCAATACTTCCTATCTCAATACTCAAAAATGGAAGGGGAGGTGATACAGATGCCTGAGGCAAGGGAGACTGCCTGAAATCAGAACCTCACCCCAGCATCTAGATACAGCCTAGATAGGAGGCCTGGATACGGCAGCCTGGGCTAAGGGAAGAACGGGTTCCACAAGCCTGCACCTGCAGACATTTTTCCCCTCCTCTGCCAGTGCTGCCCTGCTCCCTGTGGAGACCCTCAGCCTGACAAAGTAGCAACTTCTTTCTCTTCCCTGTTGCTGAAGAATCAAATGGAGCCTGAGAGACAGCGGATCCAGACAGAGTTTAATCAGCTACGAAGAATCCTGGACAAAGAGGAGCAGCGGGAGCTTAAAAAGCTGGAAGAGGAAGAGAGGAAGGGACTGAGTGTGATAGCAGAGGCTGAAGGTCAGCTGGTCCAGCAGAGCCAGTCTCTGAGAGAGCTTATCTTGGATCTGGAGCGGCGATGTCAGGGGTCAACCGTGGACCTGTTGCAGGTAAGACTTCTGGAACAGCCCCAATCTGGTCAAGGAAAAGAGAAACTAACTTTTCTTCCTTTATTCCTGGTGGAATAAGGAAAAAACAATTTCTTTGGCCATATACTGCCTCATTCTTTAAGTTATACAGAGTTTATGGGGTAAAGCATGAGATAATTCAGAGTATAAAATAAGGTACTTTAGAAAATTCATAGAAAATGGAATTAAAGGTACATTTATTTTAAGGCAAAGAAATGAAATCCATGTATGTACAAGGAGTCTTCAAAAAGTTTTGTAGACAATATAATGAAAATGCATGGATTTAAAAAAAATTGTACTAAAATAAATGTTACCTTTTAATTCCATTTTCCACAAACTTTTTGATGTGTATCATAAGGAAGTCCCACTTTTATTTATTGTTTATAAAGGGTGACCCAAAACTGTTGGTACTGTGGAGGTCTGTTGTATCCAATGATTGATAGAAAAAGGTTTCTCATTCTCAGCACTGTTATTTCTTTGCTCTGAGGGGCTCTGTTTTACATTGTAGAATAGTAAACAGAATCCCTGGCCTCTGCCCTGAGATTTAGATGCCAAGCACCGCCACCCCAAACGTGATGACCAAAAACACCTCCAGACATTGCCATGTATTCCCACAATATCTCCTTCCACTCCCGAATTGAGAGCCACTGTTCACTGGGCACCTTTTTTTTCTCTGGGGCTGTGCTGGGGGTTCCTCAGGTGCTTTTTACTCAGCTTAGTCACAGGCAGATGCATGACAAACCCAACTCAGATTCTTTATCTCATTGCCACCCCTTCTTTACCTTCATTCTCCTTAAGGCAGAATGACTTGACATGTTGTGGTTACAGATGTTTGAACAGGCTGGGTTTAGGGGCTGGGCTGTGCTCACTGTGTGAAGGTTGGAGGGCCGTAGGTATCAAGTCTAGAGAGACTTGTTGGAGGAACTTAACTTGAGGTAGCAATTGGAGCTGCTGTCTCTTACACAGAACAGTGTAACAGTGAAGTTGAGGCACAGTATACGCTGTACTATTCTGGAATCTTTAGGCTGTTTCCTGTTGCTATTCCTTTGCTGGTAGAATAATTATATCTTTATTCTTGGATCTTAATATCGGGATTATGGAGTAGTTTCTTTTCACTTATTAGAGCTCTTCCCAATCATTGCTTCCTACTTCACATAATTTTATTCCCACCATTTTGTCCTCATCTTTCACATTAGGTTGCAACACTTTTTCCTTCACCCCTTTTTTTTTCTTGCTTCTCCACAGACCCCCTCAAACTGTAAAAATTCATCCTTATATGCAAAGAAGTCATGAATTTATTTTGCTATTCCTGGCACTTTCACATCAATTAGTATGACCGTTCAATGAACATTTGAACTCCAGTATTATCCAACAGTCAAGGTTCTGGAATCCTTTCTGCTCCATATCTGTTTGACATTGTTGACCAATACAATTCGATAGCCAATGTATAAGCTTCAAAATGTGAACATAGACAACCAAACCAACATAAGAACAATAGCCATGAAGTGGCACACTGACTTGATCACTGAGTTTCTCAGTGCAGCCGTGATTGAAGATAATAAAATCTGGGGCCAGTATTGTGGTATAGCAGGTTAGGCTGCCATCCCTTATAGGCACTGGTTTGAGTACTGGCTGCTTTACTTCTGATCTAGCTACCTGCTGACGTGCCTGGGAAAGCAGTGAAAGATGGCCCAAGTATGTGGGCCCCTGCTCCCATGTGGGAGACACAGATGAAGCTCCTGGTTCCTGGCTTTGGCCTTGTCCAGCCCCAGCCATTGTGACCATTTGGGGAGTGAATCAGTAGACAGAAGATCTCATTCTCTCTGTCTCCCCATACTCCCCTTCCATAACACTTCCTTTCAAATAAATATATAAATATATATTTTCTAAAAAATGATAAAATTCTGGGTATTTGGTCTAAATTGACACACCAGTATCTCTTAGGCTTTCTGTGTTCAAGTCAGTTCCAGTTGTATTTCTGTGAAATAAAACCAAAAATAGCCCCATTGAACAAAAATTGTTATTCCTGTGTGTATATGTGTAAACTGTTGACCTTTTTATTTTTATTGGTCACTGAGGTATAAAGAGCAGCAGTTAGAATAAATAGTAGGCATTTGGGAAGTTCTATTAAAATAAGATAGGCAGGGGCTAGCGCTGTGGTGTAGCAGGTAAAGCCACCGCCTGCAGTGCCGGCATCCCATATGGGTGCCGATTCGGGTCCCGGCTGCTCCACTTCCAATTTAGCTCTCAGCTATGGTCTGGGAAAGCAGTGGAGGATGGCCCAAATCCTTGGGCTCCTGTACCCGTGTGGGAGACCTGAAAGAAGCTCCTGGCTCCTGGCTTCGAATCGGTGCAGCTCCAGCTGTTGCAGCCAGTTGGAGAGTGAACCAGCGGATGGAAAAACTCTCTCCCTCTCTTTTTCTCCCCTTCTCTCTCTGTGTAACTCTGACTTTCCAATAAATAACAATAAATCTCAAAAAAAAAAAAAAAAAAGATAGGCAGTGGTTGGTAAAGGTGAATAGAAAGAGGCTAAAAGAAGGGTATGGAAAAAAATTGAAAATAAAAGAAGGGTATGAAATGGACTGCCTTGGTTAAAGATGGGATGTGAAGATAAATCTATATATACGATGAAACTATATATATTTATATACATGAAAGTATATATATATATGATGAATTTGATATATATATATATATAGTTTTCACATTCATATTTTGTGGGTTTTTAATTAATTCCCCCCCAAAGAAGCGTTTTCTTTGAGGAATACAGACTTAATGCATTTCATAAGTACAGCTTTAAGAATCTAGTGCTTCTTCACACCATATCAGCCTTCCCACCCACTCTCCCAACCCTCCTCCTCCTCCTTCTCCCATTCCCAGTCCCATTCTCCACTAAGATCATTTTCAATTAACTTTATACACAGAAGACCAACTCTATACTAAGTAAAGAGTTCAACAATTTGCATGGTAAAAAAAAAAAATACAAAACAACAAAAAAGCTGTTCCTCAGCAGTTGAGACATGGGCTGTTCAAAGTCATTGCATCTTGAAGTGCATTTCACTTCTTTTTTTCTTAATTAACTTTATTAAAACTTAATTAACTTTAATGAAGCACCAAGGATAATACATCTTTTGGGAGAACTTAGATATAGTTATAATACAACTCTTTGAGGACAGAGGTCATGCATGGGAAGTTAGTGCACAGTGACTCTTGTTGTTCATTTAACAATTAACACTCTTATGCATAAAATCAGTGATCACCAGAGGCTCTTAACATGAGCTGCCTAGGTTATGGAAGCCTTTTAAATCCACAAACTCTGTCAGTATTTAGACAAGGCCATAAGCAAATGGAAGTTCTCTCCTCTCTTCAGAGAAAAGTACCTCCTCTGATGACCACGTCTTTGCAATGGGGTCTCACCCACCGAGATCCTTCATCTAGTATGTTTTTTTGCCACAATATTTTGGCTTTCCGTGCTGGAAATGCTCTCATGGACTTTTCAGCCAGACTAGAATGCCTTAAAAGCAGATTTTGAGGTCAGAGTGCTACTTAAAGCAGTTGGCACTCTATGAGTCAGCTATGTGGACTGCTTCCTATGTTGCAGCATTCTCTCCTTTTTAATTCTATCTATTATCATTACCAGACCCTTAATCTTATCCGTACGATCACTTTAACACATAAGATGGTAATTTTTACTACCCAGGTTAAGGGGATTTGGGGCCCCATGGCAAGTTTTTAAATTGTGCCCTTAGAAGTAAGTCTATAGGAATGTATGCAGAACTATACAGCTTTACAATTACAAACTTCATACATTTCATAATTAAAACTTTAGGAACATGGTGATTCTTCCCACTGCGCCCACCCTCCCACCCATACTCCCAGCCCCTCTTCTTCCTCCCTCTCTTATTCTCACTTTTATTTTTTACTGAGATTTATTTTCAGTTGACTTCATACACATATGTTTAACTCTATGTTAATTAAAGAGTTCAACAAAGTATAAAAAAAAATTGTTCCTCAACAGTCGTTATCTCTCAAAGTGTCAATTTCACTTCTAAGATTGCCTTTTAGGTGCTCTGTTAGTTATCACAGGTCAGGCAAAACATAGTTGTCCCTTTGGGACTGGCTTATTTCACTAAGTATGATGTTTTCCAGATTCATCCATCTTTTTTTAAATGACCAGATTTCATTTTTTTTACTGCTATGTAGTATTTCATAGAGTAAATATCCCATAATTTCTTTATCCAGTCTTCAGGTGATGGGCATTTGCATTGATTTCAACTTAGCTATTGTGAATTGAGCTGAAATAAATGTGGTGCAGATAACACTTTCACATGCTGACTTCATTTCCCTTTGGTAAATTTCCAGGAGTGGGATGACTGGGTCATATGGTAGGTCTATATTCAGATTTCTGAGGTATCTCCATACTGTCTTCCATAGTGGCTTTACCAGTTTACATTCCCACCAACAGTAGATTAGGGTACCTTTTTCCCCACATCCTTGCCAGCATTTGTTGTTTGTTGATTTGTGTATGAAAGACCAGGGTGAGGTGAAACCTCATTGTAGTTTCGATTTGCATGTCCCTGATAGCTAGCATCCTGAGCATTTTTTCATGTGTCTTTTGGCCATTTGGACTTCTGCTTTTGAAAAATGTCTATTTAAGTCTTTCGCCTTCTTCACTGGGTTGTTTGTTTTGTTGTTTTTGAGTTTCTTGATCTCTTTATATATTCTGAGTATTAATCCTAGTTGCATAGTTTGCAAATCATTTCTCCCATTTTGTCGGTTGCCTCTTCACTTTCCTGAGTGTTTCTTTTGCAGTACAGAAGCTTATCAACTTGATATACTCTGAAGCTGGACTGATCCAAAGCCAGGAGCCAGGAGCTTCTTCCAAGTCTCCCACGCAGGTGCAGGGGCCCAAGGACTTGGGCCATCTTCCACTGCTTTCTCACGCTACAACAGAGAGCTGAATCAGAAGAGGAGCAGCTGGGACATGAACTGGCGCCCCTTTAGGATACCGGTGCCACAGGCAGAAGCTTAGCCTACTATGCCACAGCACCAGCCCCTATTCTTGTTTATTGAATTGGTGCATTTATTATTCAGAATTTGTGGAGATACTCATTGGTTTTTTCTTTTTTTTTTTTTTTTTTTTTTTTGCTGTGGTAGCTTTTATCTTTGGACTGTGTATGGCTTAGTGGATTGTCTGCTTTCAGGGAATACCTATAGGCCTGTGGTGTGTGTGGCCAGGGAGCTCTGTCCAGTGCTCCAGGTGAAGGGAGTGTTAAGGTGACACTCAGGTTGGGCATGATACATCCCCTCTTCTTTTTTTTAATTAGAGGGGAGGTTTTTCTTCTATTGGCATAGACTCAAATCATTTCCTCTCCTCAAAGAAGACCATTGCCTGTGCTAGCCCCAGTGGGTATAATATTCATCTTCCACAAGGACCACACAAAGGATCTGTGCAGTCCTCGGTATAAGCAGATTCCCCAGCAGTGTCCCTCACCAGGAAACCAGGTTACCCTGGGAATATGCAGCCTCCCACAGTGACTGCCCAAAGTCCCAGCCACACCCTGAGCCTTTCCACACAGCCTCAGTGTTTTCAAAGCCCTGCAATCTCAGTGTTTTCACAGTCCTGGCACATAAGCCTCCCACAGTCACAAGCACCCAGCCCCCCATCAGTTCTCCCCACAAGACTCAGGAGTCTGCTCAGCTGGTTGCTGGGCGTGGACAGAGGTTGGCGCAGCTGTTATATATGTACGAAATGGCGCCCACTCTGTATTGGCCTGCTACAGCATGCCATTGCAGGATGATCAGGGAGAGTGAAATGTGCCCCCTCCCTTTTTTTTTCCCCTTTTTTTTTCGGTAGGTCCACTATCCGCCACAGGGTTCCAAATCTGATTCTTTCCCACCTCTTCCTGCAGCTTTATCACCAGTGGTTTGGGTTGCTACAGTCTGGTCTCACCTCTCTCCAAAGCTGGTGTGGAGGCTCTCAGCTGCTGGGGTCCTGAGTTGTGCACATCCACACCCTCCATGTAGGTCTGCTGTGTCCCTCTAATTTGCGTGCTGTTTCCTCTGGTGTTTTCTCCCTAACTCCTCCCTGAGACTACACTCTCTTCACTTTTTTAAAACTATCTTCCCTAGACAAGAGCTGTAAGCTCCCTCCCTACTTCACCATCCTAATCCCTATTCCACTATAATATTTTGTGTACATGGATGTACACATGACTACATGGATGTTAGTATCATTCAGGAACATGAAAGTCAAGAAACAAAATGGTCATAGGAATGAGAAGTTTTCCTTTCAGCACCCTGAGTTTGCGTCTCAGAGAGCTCAATCTTGGATCTGGAGGCACTGAATCTCATTTGTGGGGGTATACATTAATCTGAATTGTAAAGGACAGAAGACTAATAGATATAGATTTGAGAAAATGTGTGTGTTGAAATCAAGGGACTGGATGAAGTCAGCAAGGTCAGGGTAAGGTGTTAGAGGAGATGATGCCTGAAAGCAACCATAATTAAGGCCTTTGAGCTGTATCTTCAGCAGTCAGAATGGAATGATGAAAATTAAGGCTTTATCATCTGAGAGCCTCTAAGACCCGGTACAATGTCTGATAAATAGTGGATGCTGCACCATGCATAACATACACACATACACACACAAACACACTCATACATACTGTTGTGAAAATAAAGGAACTCATACATTGATTGAAATATTTCCTGATGTCTTCATGGTGTTTGTAGGGACAGTCTTCCCTCAGTCTTTAAGCTCTGTGTTTTGGTCTTCACATTGGCACTAACTTTATTCCTGTTGTATCATGGGGTGACAGAGATGGGATATGAAGCATGTATAAGATCATGACCTGTTACTCCTTGACTTAACTTGTCTTTTTCATCCCTAGGATGTGAGTGATGTCACGAAAAGGTATGTATGGCAGAATATGAAATAATCTCTTTGATTGACAAAAGATTCCTGTACCCATAGAGTTTTCACAGAGCAAGGAAGGTTCGAGATTGTGTGTTTTAAATTGCTCAGGCTACGAACATTTTAGGTTCCCAAAATAAAGTGAATGGACTGACTTTCATGGTAGGAGAATTTGGGTGGGGAAAGTCATAGACTTGGGAATGTACTAGCATTAAGAATAAAGAGCTGTCGTGAGGGTGACTCAGCCAGTACCGTCATGCTACTCCTTTGCCACAAACCACTGCATGTGCTTTCATCCCTGAGTATCATTTATAACTACAGGGTTTTCTTTGCCCATGCATTTTATCAGAGGGAGTTTCCTGAAAGCCACGTTTCCCGAGATCCAAGCATTTGCTCTTGCAACATCTGCCTTAAATTTCCCGTCTTCCCATAGCTTTGGAATGGTCTAGGCCATGTTACCTCCTCAGATTTCCATTTGTCCCAATTCCAGTAAAAATGTAGACTTGAGATCTCGAGAAGAGTATTTTGGCCCTGGACAGACATTCTTCACCACATGGCCTAGAATCTCATCTAGTACCATGGTGTTTAAAGGTCCTCACAGATACGTTTAACAGGGAGCCCTTTGTTCCTTCTGAGGTCTTCACTCTGAGTTTGCAAATAAGGACGTCTCCTCTTTCTAGCTGGCATAATGTTCCTGCAACAGAATCCTAAATGCTGCTCTAAATGTCTTTTCCCTGGGCTTCTGGCTGAACCTAGGGCCTGAGACTATGATCCCAGGAAGAAAAGAAGCTGTTTTTTCACTTGATCTTCAAAGCCTCCACTGCGGATTCCTAGTTTTTTGTCGACATAGCCAACTGCAGTGCCTCCTGGTAGACCCTCTAATAAGGCACATTTTATGTCTTTTTTTAAGGGTAGCAAAGTATTTCCCAGCAATTATTTTACTTTATTTGATATTATAGCTAGGACATAGAGAAAGAATGGAGAGTTACTAGATCTTAGGAAAACAACAACAGCAAAATGAAACACAAAATGAGTCTTTCAAGGGTTCGATCTTACTGAAGTTTATACAAGGCATGAGAAACTATAATTTCTCGTCTAGGTCTTTTAGCTTTAGTGCCATGACTCTTTGCAGAATGATGTCAACTTTCCTCAGGACTGAGAGCTGAGGTTCACCCATAGGCCTGACAGTGAGAGAGACAGGTATTGGAGGAACCCTTGCGTGGTCAGCTGTGTGGGGACTCACCAGACCTGTCCTCTCCAGGAGTGAGTTCTGCACCCTGAGGAAGCCCCAAGCTCTCCCCACCAAGCTGAGAAGTATGTTTCGAGCCCCAAATCTGAAAAAGATGCTGCGAGTGTTTAGAGGTGAGGATTCCAGGAAAAGGGTTTCGATGGGGAATTTCTGCCGTGGTAAGAAAAAGACAGGAGAGGGGGTGTTGGTATTTGATAGTAGTGGCGATGGAGAAGGTCCCAGAGGGAGAGACAGAGTGTGCTAGAGATGTGATTACTATTTAAAGGGGAATGAAACTCCCCACCACCACTCCTGTTTGCCTGATTGGGGCAGAGACATCAGGCCTGAGGCTGCTGGTTCTGTTCAACATTCCTGACTTTTTATCATTGCAGAGCTGACAGATGTCCAGAGCTACTGGGGTAAGTAGAAGCCACGGCCTCTGAGCTGACGCGTCTGATCCCCTGTCACACACTCCCTCCAGCCGTGCCCACACAGACTCTCAGGTCTGAGTTGGTGATGCCCTGACCCCCATCACATAGCCCTAGATCCTCCCAACCCTGCCCAGCGTCCACCCTTCTCAGTGTCACAACACTTACATACCCATTCTCATCTACTGCCCTTGTACCTTTTCTGCAGTGGACGTGACCCTGGATCCTCACACAGCTAATTTAAATCTCATCCTGTCTAAAAACAGGAGACAGATGAGGTTTGTGGGCAGCACACTGTCTGGGCCTTCGTGTCTGGAAGAACAGTATGACTGTAGTGTCCTGGGCTCCCAGCACTTCTCCTCAGGAAAATATTACTGGGAGGTGGATGTGACCAAGAAGACTGCCTGGATCCTGGGGGTGTGCAGTCACTCAGTGGAACCTGCAAGCTCTTTCCACCCAGCCATGAGCCAGCACCACACCTACTCCAGATACCAACCTCAGAATGGATACTGGGTGATTGGGTTACAGCATAAGCGTGAATACAGAGCCTACGAAGATTCATCTCCCTCCCTGCTCCTCTCCATCACAGTGCCCCCTCGCCGTATCGGGGTTTTCTTAGACTATGAGGCTGGCACTGTCTCATTTTATAATGTCACGAACCATGGTTTCCCCATCTATACCTTCTCTAAATACTACTTTCCCACCAACGTTTGTCCATATTTTAATCCTTGCAACTGTGTAGTCCCAATGACCTTGCGGCGCCCAAACTCTTAATCCTGTTTGTTCTTCCCACCTGTCTCTAAGTAGTGCTCTTCACCCTGGGATTCCTCCACACGTGATTTACTCTGCTTCAGTATTGTCTTTATTCAATGCAAGCATGCGACACACAGTGGTGATCATGAACATCTTTGATTAATTACAGATCTTGAGAGGGGTAAAGGGAGGGTTCAGCATTTTATCACAAAATAAAGAATTTGGTGCAGATTTTTGGTTGATGTAATGAGATCAAATTTAGGAAATGCTCTTCTGTTAATTTGCTATGAGGTCTTGTACTTAATGAAAAACTAAATTCTACAGATTCTTTTTCTGTTATTCAGAAAATTAATGCCATGTTTATTCTGTTGTGGCCAAGTACATTGGTTTATTTCAATTGTTTTATCTACCACAAATTCCTGAAGCAGACTCTTACTATTCGTTTATGCAACACTTGATTTGTTTTTGCTAACACATTGCTTAGGTTTTGTTTTCATCCGTGCCTTTGAAAACACATTTGTCTATAACTTTACATTCCTGTAATACCTTTGTCAGGTTTTATAAAATGCCATCATGAGCAAAGAGATTGATGTGTTTTTGTATAAATGTATAATTCTGAGTATTAAAAACAATCCCCTTCACTGTTAATTTTGGTGGCTTTAAATTCAGATTAAAGGAAGATATTATGTAAGTCTTGAACAGCCTTCAACTTTTATCTTAAAAATTTAGAGCTAGCAATGAAAAATAAAACATTATTTTCCAAATGAAGTGAAGTTTTAAAAAAGTAGGGGAGAAGAGGAAAATATTCTATCCAATACAGATCTTTCTCTGAGTGTGAGGAAGATGCAAACAGAAAATATGAAGAATCAAAAATACTTTGGAAGAGGATGATGTCTTTCATCTTCTCCACACCCCTGTTCTTAATGTTCAAATACACAAGCAGCTAATGAATAAGCTCCTATAGTGATCCTTGTTCAGCCTGGTAGCTGGGAGCCAGAAGCTCTTGAGCACTTTTAATGTGACTTGTTGGAATTGAGCTGTGGTTGATTACAAAATAGACACTGGAATTTGAAGACTTTGTTAGAAAAGTAAAGTATCTCTTTGTTTTAGAGCCTATTGTGGAATTTGTGTCCCTTGGGGAACCCTTCTGTAACAGCCTTTGGCCCCAGGATGCAGAGGGGGCTTCAGGGTCCATAGATTTTCTCCACAAGAACCCTTCCCCCCAGTTGCCTGAGGCATTGTTATGGAAGAAGGGGATGGCAGAGAAAGGATCTCAACCTATCTGGAAGCATGGAATTTTGAAGATCACAGGAAGGAATCATGGCCCCAGAACGTGATTCTGCCTGGTCTCGTCTCTGCCTTTAGTCTTGTTGGGTGCTTGTGGTTTAAGAAAATATTGAGTCATGCTCAGGGCTCAGCTCTAGCATCTGGTGAGAGGAAAAAGTGCAGATTACAGTAGATGCCCAATACTGATTTGTTCTAGGGTAATTTCATTTGGGAGGTCAGATCTGTGGGAGTCCAGAGGCCAGATGCACATTCTTCATCCTGATCTGAACTTTGGAAAAACTATGAGAAGGCAACCTGGGGCCCTGAGGATGGTGGAGGTAAGATATCAGGTTGGCCCGAGTAACAGTCTCCTCACTTACTTTCCCATGCAGTGTTCTAGGCCAAAGGGGTTAGTCCAGGTCCCTTTCACCCGGCTAAATCTTAACAAGAATCGGAAGAAGTATCCAGGTGACAAAGGCCAAAGTACTCTCTGGACCTTTGTGAGACTTGGAGATGGTTACCCAAACCGTTTCCCTTTGGGACAATTATTAGGTTAAATTTGCAGCTCTGATCTTTTCCTCAGAGTCCTGGACAGAGGCCATTTTGACCTTGACATTTTTAGTGTGACAAAATGAACTATTGAAAATGAAAATTGAAGAACATGCATACAATCAATCAAATACTAAAACACTTATTACTCATGTAAAAAAAAAATCCAGTGTGAGTGTAACTTGTGGATGAGTGGCACCATTTCATTTGGGATTCATGGAACATACTTTCTTTCGTCTTAGTACTGCCATAACCTAAAACATTGTTTTCAGCATCAAGCCACAGAAAGGTAAAAACTGGGGGAAGGCAACTAGCTTTTTAAAATCCTTAGTTCACAGATGGAATTCAATATTTTTGCACATAATTCCTGTTGCTGAGAAAAGGACAATTCAGATTTGGGTGGAGACAGAGTAGTCTGTGAATAGGGGACACTTAATAAGTACCTGGAACCCCAAGAAATTTTCTCATTACAGAGGATTCAAGTTCCCAGTTTTTTCTGGGGCTGTGTTTATTCCACCCCATAGTACAAGCCTTATAAGTGAGAAGTGCATGACACCGCGAGTTGTAAGCTTAGGGTATGTTTTCCTAATATTTTCCAACAAATGAGTGCTTGCTAAAGCTGACTTTTTTTATTACAGGCTTTCTTAATATCTTTATTGTCAGATCATTGACATATAATATATTTCACATAAAGTGTATAGTTTGGTAGGATAGTTTGTGAATTCTTCATTAAGAGAGAGATGCTGTCCTCAAGTTTCCCCTTTTCCTTGTAATCCCTCCCCTTTTTTTCACAATACATATGAAACTATATGTACTATATTTTCTTTATCCATGCATTCATTTAAAGATATTTAGGTGATTTCCATACCCTGGCTATTGTTAATAATACTACAGGGAGCATGTATTTCAGTATTCCTGACAGCATTTGTTGACAAAACTATCCTTTCTCTATTTTGTCTATTTTGTTTAACCTTTGCAATTTCATTTTATTTTTTAATTTAAAAACAATTCATAGAAACATAAAAATGTACATATTTATGGGATACATGTGGCGTTAAAAAGCTACCTTAGATGTGATCTCACAATTTACCAGGGCTGAACCATGGGTAACAAAGCGTTCTGGACAGAGATAGAATAGTCAGAAATTTATTTACAATTAAAGAGAAAGGGAAAGAAAGAAACCATGAAGACTAGAACATCATCAGTCGAGGGAAAAACTCCAATGCCTGAAGTGTCATAATGGGAATCCCAAACAGCTTCTTCGGGGTCTTGATGGGGAGGTCCTGGGTGGAGTGTTCTCTCTGCAAGCCAGATTCCAGTCCCTCCTTCCCAAGGGCCTTTAAAGTTGTTCTGAACGAAGGTGGCATAATTCCAAAAGTCCTTGTGGGAGTAGATAGATTATCCATTCTCCCAGGAACTGGCTAGGGACACTGGGAACACACGTCTCCTTGCTTCATATCTCAAATTAAAACAAAATGTGTTTTTCTCAGTAGGCAAGCCAAGCCCACAAGAAAAACAGCACAGCAGCACAAACAAGGATATGGAAGATCTTTATTTTAAAATTAATCCGTCAGTACCACAGAACTTCTTAATCCTACCTAGCTATAACATGCTATCAGTCATTCAACCCTTCCCTCTCCCTCCCTACCTTTTTCCCTCACCAGCCTCTAGTAAAGACTAGAGGTCTTTTTTAAAGACTCGACATATGAGTGTGATCATGTGATATTTGCTTGACTGCTTGGCGTATTTTAGTCACCAGGAATTCCAGTTCCTTTCAAATTGTTGCAAATGACAGGATTTCATTCCTTTTTATGGCTGAGTAGTATTCCATTGTATAAGTACCACATTTTCTTTATCCATGCATCAGTTGATGGACATGTAGAATTCTTCCATTTTTTAGCTATTTTTTAAAAAGATGTATTTATTTATCTTGAAAGATAATTATCTTTCATACATCATATAAATAAAATCTTGAAAGACAGACAGAGGGGAAGAGAGAGAGAGAACTTCCATGTACTCATTCACTCCCTATATGGCCTCAACAGCCAGTGCTGGGCTAGCCTGAAGCCAGGAACTTCAATCAGGTCTTCTACATGGGAGGCAGGGGGCCCAAAAACTAGAGCCTTCTTCCACTGCCTTTGCCAGGCCGTGAGCAGGGATCTGGATCCAAAGTAGAGCAGCTGGGACTTGAACTGGTGCCCATAGGAGATGCCAGGGTCACAGGCTGCAGCTTAACCATTACGCCACAATGCCAGCCTTCATTTCTTGGCAATTATGAATACTGCTGCAATAAACATGGGAGTGCAGATTTTTTTTGACAGATGTATATAATTTCCCTTAGATATATACCCAGCAGTGTGATTTTTGGGTCATATGGTAGTTCCATTTTTAGATTTTTGTGGTATTTTATGGTGTTTTTTAACAATAACTGTACTAATTTACATTGCCAGTAACAGTGTGCAAGGGTTGCATATTCTCCACATCTTTACAAAAATGTGTTTGTTTTGTCTTTTTGATAATATTCAATTCAACTGCAGTGAGATGGTTTCTGGTTTCCCTGATGATTAGTGATATTGAGCATTCTTTCATGTGCCTGTTGACCAGTTAGTGTATATTTTCTTTAGAGAAACATCTGTTTAATTATTAGTACCAGAAGAACAACTGAATTGCCTCTGTGATACAGCAACTGTGTTCACATTACAGAACAGAACAGAAACATGGTATCAGCAAGATGTTCAGTTCAATTAAAACTAAACTTGTAGCTATGTATCTATATATCTAATTATTGGTGCAGGCACACTGAGCTCTAACTGTTCAGATTTATTGTCTCATGCTGGATGAAGAATGAACACATGGACACAGAGGGGTAAGCAAAGGATAAAGCCAAGTTTTATTGAAGTGAACAGAGACAGCACTCACAGCCAAGTGGCACAGCAAGAGAGACTTTGTAAATCAGAAAGACCTTATTGAAAGGAACACACAGGGGCCCACACTGTGGCATAGCAGGTAAAGCTGCTGCCTGCAGCACCAGCATCCATATGGGTGCCAGTTCCAGTCCTGGCTGCTCCACTTCCGTTCCAGCTCTCTGCTATGGCCTGGGAAAGCAGTAGAAGATGGCCCAAGTCCTTGGGCCCCTGCAGCCATATGGGAAGACCAGGAGGAAGCCCAGGAGGAAGCTCCTGGCTCCTGGCTTCAGGTAGGTGCAGCACTGCCCATTTGTGGCCAATTGGGGAATGAACCAGCAGATGGAAGACCTCTCTTTCTCTCTCTCTCTTTCTCTCTGCTTCTCCTCTTTCTGTGTAACTCTGACTTCCAAATAAATAAGTAAATCTTAAAAAAAAAAAAAAAAAAGGAAGGAATACACAGAAGACCCCTGGGAAAGGCAGCTGGAAGGGACCTCTTCAACAGAAAAAAACAGTTGAAAGGAAGAAATCAGGGGGTTTTATACCCTCTGGAAATTTGTGCAGGGCCCTTTAAGAAAAGTGTTCATCCCTCTGTGACCTCATCCTGCTTTTTTAACTCCTATTGGGTCCCATTTGGTAAGTTTCTGGTCCTAGATGTTGCCATCCCCAATTATCTTTGGCTTGCTAACTCAAGGTTCTGGGCCTTCATCCTTCACATTGTTACAATCCCAGAACTTTATCCTCATCCTCCCTCTATCAATCTCTCTGTTTTGTCTTTGCAAGACCTGTCTCTCGGTCCAGATAGGCACTTTGTTGCTGGCTAGTACCCTCCCTCAAAAAAAAAAAAAAAAAATTCAATTAACTGTTTCCTGTCTTCATCTTTAACACCCCTTATAAAGATCAATTTCTTCTTTTTTTTTTTTGGATAGGCAAAGTTAGACAGTGAGAGAGAGAGACAGAGAGAAAAGTCTTCCTTTCTCCGTTGGTTCACCCCCCCAAGTGGCTGCTACGGCCGGCTGGCCGGTGGAAAGCCAGGAGCCAGGTGCTTCCTCCTGGTCTCCCATGCGGGTGCAGGGCTCAAGGACCTGGGCCATCTTCCACTGCACTCCCGGGCCACAGCAGAGAGCTGGACCGGAAGAGGAGCAACTGGGACAGAATCCAGCACCCCAACCGGGACTAGAACCTGGAGTGTCGGCACCACAGGCAGAAGATTAGCCTAGCGAGCCGCAGCGCAGGCCCAAGATCAATTTCTAATATATTCTGAGACAATAAGGAACAAAAGGGAAAAGATCTTCACCTGACCTCATGAAACTTCAGTTTTGAGGGGCTGGTGCTATGGCGTAGTGGATGAAGCCACAGCCTGCAGTGCCAGCATCCCATGTGGGTGCCAGTTCGAGACCCTGCTGCTCCAATTCCAATCTAGCTCTCTGCTATTCTTATGGGAAACTGCATTGTTACAGGAGAAATTATTGCTACCTTGGTTCTTTGTCTCCCACAGAAGAATTTCTAAGCGGACAGCCAAGAGGTTTAAAAGTATTTATTAGAGTCAAAGGCTTCCAGCCAGAGGGGGTTTCCGAGACAGGAATAAACCCAAAAGGACCGGTGGTAGTGTGTTTTTTAAGTACAACCTCAAAGGAAAAAAAAAAAAAAACTTGACAATCAGTGCAAGGTAGGGTCAAAAACCATCAAAAGATATCATTTACAGTTCTCCATCCTGTCTGTCCTAAGGGTGGGATAGGTAACTTGTTTTTACAATAAGCTGTGAGCTCCCTTGCTAGTCTCATGGTAAATTTGGAGATTCAGAAGGAAGGAGTGTGGCCTGTCCTTGCTAAAGATAAGGTTTTGAGGACAGAGCAAATATTTTACACCCCAAATTCCATAGTAATCCCCTGACTACCTATTAACCATCTGACTTCTCACACTATGACCTGGGAAAGCAGTACAAGATGATCCAAGTTCTTGGGCCCCTGCACCTGCGTGGAGACCTGGAAGAAGCTCCTGGATCCTGGCTTCGGATCAGTCCAGCTCCAGCTGTTGCGGCCATCTGGGGAGTGAACCAGTGGATGGAAGACCTCTCTGTAACTCTGCCTTTCAAACAAATAAATGAATCTTAAAACAAGCAAACAAACAAACAAAACCCTTCAGTTTTGGGGGTACCATGTGGAGTAGGAGATGAAACTACTTAGGAGATGAAACTACTTATTATAGTATAAGTGGCAGCAGCAGCCTACTGGTTCTCCCAATGGGTTTCTCATGCATTCTGTTTCAAACTCAGGGACTACTATCGTCTCCATATGAATGATCCTAATTCCAAGGGAGACTTTCTGAATATATCGTGCAATGTTCAAATCAGGGAACAATATCTCCTTAAACATATTCATCATTCTGTGTGAAAACATCAAAATCCACTCTAGCTTTTTAAAAATATATACAGCCTGATATTGTTATCCACAGTTATCACCCTATTTGCAACAGAATAGTAGAACTTCGTTCTTCTAATTATAACCTTGGTTAATACGGGGAGATGCCAGGAGAAGCAGCATAGTAATGCCACTGAGTCCCATGACAAAAAAGGGTTAAGTGGGGGCGCCTTTGTTTTTCTACCTCTCTTCCTGTGAAAGGCACAGCTGCAGCCGGCTGCCTGGCTCTCTCAAGGACCCACGGAGACAACCCATTGGTCTGTAGTTTCGCTTCCCTTCCTGCCCCTCCCCCAAGGGTTTTAGTTTCGTTTCTTGGGGTTCCTGGGTTCTTCGGTGGGAGCTCCTCTGGGGAGACTAGGCCTCTGGTGAGTAAATCCTGACCACACTGCCCCGGCCTGCCTTCCACCCTTCTCCACAGAATCCCAGCTTCTCCACTGGTGTCTGAGGGTGTGTTGAGGGCAGAGGTTGGGAAACTGGGTTTGCCTGGGTGAGTTTGATTTCCCGAGAGCTACTCTGAAGGGAGGAAGGGACATTCACTTGGCGGCTTCCGGTTGTGAGCCCTGACTGATCCTCAGAAGAGCAGAGAGGCAGCCTTAAAAGAGGTTCGAATCTCAGGCTGAGCCTCTCCCACACATCCTTCCCGTTCGGTAACTTTGAATTGCACCTTGCCAGAGAGTCAGAATCCTCTTCCAGAGGCAGGCAGCCCCTCCCCCAAACAGGGGCAAGGGAGAGGTCTTCGAAAACTTAACAGTTTAATGCCTGTCAGGATAATCGGGTAGTATTTCTGTACGACTCAACAGATCAATTTCAGACCCTTGGCCCCTGTTCAGGCTTGGTGTCGCCTGGCTACCTCGCGGGCTACCCTGTGAGAGCCAGAGAGAATGGGGGGCGGAGGGGCGCCGCCCTATGCCTGAGGTGATAGGGCGAGGTGCAGGGGACCCTGGAGGCGCGCTCTGGCCTCTCACGCTCTTGTTTGGGGTGCTCCAGTATTAGCTACATATAATTTACAGTTGTTTTATCTTCTTAAGGAATTACGTAATGATTTTCTTTGTTTCTCATATGGGGGAACTAGGCAGGAAGATTCAGTAGGAATAGGTGAGCTAGAATCAGAATTTCTGCCAGCCCTGTGTTGTAAATCTGCCCCATTACCTATCCAGTATGCCCAGTTTCCAATAATACACCTTTGTTTCATCTGGGATCAGGGATGAGGAGACACGGTGATAGCCATGTGGAAATAAACTAATTATTTGCCTGACATAACCCTTAACAAATTACTGTAGTTATTACTTTTGTTGCAGCACAACTTCGAAAATTTAGTTAGCAGTGTTGCTAAATGCATCCCCAAACCTGAGTCTGCTCACTGTATGTGCAGGAAGTCAATCACCCACATCTGGTTGGTGAAAGAAAGTAGATATTTATTTGCAAAGCTCAGAGCAAGGAGCCAGGTAGCTTAATTCATGTTTTTTTGTTTCAGTTTGAAAACTAGTCAACATTTCTTGGAAGAAAAGTCTGGTGGTGATGAACTGCCTCAGCATTTGTCTGGGAAAGAGTTTGTTTCTCCCTTGTTGGAGGAACAGATTGCTCATTGTTTCCCTGATCTTGCTGAATTGTCTCTTGGTATTCTTTGCAGCTTGTTAAGCTTCCTTCAAATCATTATTTTGAATTTCTTCTCAGGAAATTAGTTGACCGCCATTTCTTTGGGTCAGACGCTGGAGAATTACTGTATCCCTTTCGGGCTTTTTCATATTTCTTATGTCTCTATTTGATGTTTGGCGCGATCTACACCGTGACACCATCCTAGGCTCTAGCCCCCGCCGCCATTGCTGGAAGCCAGGTGGCCACATGGCCCAACCACCTTTGTCAAGCTCTACCCCCATCCTGATGAGATTCCCTGCTGCTGCTTCCCTGCCCGCCCTTTGGCAAAGTTTTAAAAGGACCTGCTCCTGAACAGGGGGCTCTCTCTTACACTCTCTCTCGGCTCGCGCTTGCTCGGTCTCTTCTCTCTCTTCTCTCCTCGCTAGCTCCTCTCCTCTCTCTCTCTCCTCTCTTAGGCTCTCCTTCTCTCTTTTTTTCCTTCCTCACCCTTTCCCTCCGGCCTGCTGGGTTTTCCCCAATAAGCCCTTTCCCTTATTCGGGTGTTTGGTGTGTTTTCTGGCGACCTTACATTGGTGCCGAAACCCGGACCTTACAATGTCTGCACGTTTGACAGAAAACTCACTTCTTCCATTCCTTTTTTCTTTTTTTTAAGATTTACTTATTTATGTGGAAGAGATGAAAGAAATGAGAAAGAGATGGCACTGTATTGCAGAACTTGCAATGATTTCAGCTCACTTAGACCTAACTAACTGCCTGCTTATTCACTACGTATCATTTAGGCTCACCTTTATGGTTTTGGATATTAGTGTAGTTGCTGGTGTATGAATCCATCATATATGTGTCAAATGAGCACATCTAATATTTTAAGACTTGCTAAAGACTGCTATCCATTTCTTCTGGGATTATATTTTTCAAATTTCTGACTAATGTGATCACATGAGTATATCTGTGTCATCTCCTTCCCCAGCTACCACATCTATACATACTTTTAGGGTGCTGTCAATGTCTGGCAAATTTCCAGGCCAAGGTGAAACCCCCATATATACAAACACAAGAATCTCCCAAATCTCCTAAAACACTTCCCGGAATCTAGAAAAATACTTCCATACTCCTGTTTTTCGGAGTACTGATTGTGTATATGTATGAGCACATGCAGTTTTCCCTAATTGTCTGATTAACTCTGTGGGATAGAGGAGCAGCTTCTGAAGGAGGACCATGAATGTATTAAATTTATCTCAGCTCGGTATATTAAAGATAAATGATTTTTGGAAGTTGCTTAGTATCTAAATTTACCCAACTGGTAAAAGGATTTGCTCTCACCATGTATACAAAAATGTATATATAGTGCTATTTATAGTGTGATAATAAAATAAATTATTGTAAATGTATGTAACCAAAACATATACTGTAGACAAGGTGCCCAGAGTAGCTCTTTCTAATAAGAGAACATGAATGATTTTGCCAGTGTATAAGAATGAGTCAGACTGATACCAAAGAGAGTATTCCATGATGAGAGAAGAGCAAGTTTAAAAGCTCTGAAGTATAAGTGGTTTAATGCTTTTAATACTGAGAAGGTGTTTTTGGCTTGGGGAAGAAAAGGCAAGGATAGATGACAGATCACTCAAAGTCTGGGTAGGAAAAGCCTCAGTGTCTCTCCCTTTCAGTAAAAATAAGGGACAATTACAATCACTACATGGATGGACTTTGTCATGTGACATGAGCTAAGAGTAAGTGCTTTTAATTGTTTGAAAATCCCTATTTACCAAGTCACCACATTGCTTTCCTTATTTCTTTTCTTTCAGTAATTTGGTCTTGGCCCATCCTTGATTTTTACATAATCAGTGTCCCTTCCAGCTTCCTTTCTTATTCTTCTCTTTTAATCTTCCTTGTCTTGCAGAAATCTGTGAGCAAAAGGAACCTCTGAAACCAGAACAGGTAGGAGCAGAGAGCTGATTTCTATGGCTTCAGCAATCTTAGCGAATATGAAGGAGGAGGTGACCTGCCCCATCTGCCTGGAGCTCCTAGTAGAACCCCTGAGCATAGACTGTGGCCACAGCTTCTGCCAAGCCTGCATTACTGCAAACTATGAATCCATGATAGCCAAGGAAATGGAGAGCAGGTGTCCTGTGTGCCGAATCGGTTACCAACTTGAGAACCTGCGTCCTAATCGACATGTGGCCAACATAGTAGAGAAGATCAATGAGATCAAGTTGAGCTCAGAAGAGGGGCAAAAGCAAGAGCATTGTGCACGCCATGGAGAGAAACTCCTACTGTTTTGCAAGGAGGATGGAAAGGTCATCTGCTGGCTTTGTGAGCGTTCTCAGGAGCATCGTGGTCACCACACATTCCTCATGGAGGAGGTCGCCCAGGAGTACCAGGTAAGAGATTAGCAAGGAGGGAACACAGGGCAGGAGATGATACTTCATGGGAAATGTCTACTCTGCATTTTGCTTATTCTGTCAACGCAGAACTGAGGCCCACACAAATTTCTCTTTATCATGTGCTTACCTTCCAAGGCCTAATGGCCATTTTGTGCACTCCATGCAGTTATAGGAGATAAGCCTAGAACTCAGACTCTCGGACAGGAGTAAATATTTTTATACCTTATGCTTTTTGTGCAGAGATTTGGTTCTTGAGAAAAGCTTTGCCTGTTCTTTTTAGCAGGAGAGTAATGGGTGAGCTGAGATATAAGGTCATTCTTTGTTACAAGATCAATTTTTTCTTCTATGAAAAAAAAAATAGTCAGAGAAGTCTTGGGAAGGGGATGGTGACTTCTGTTGCCTGAGCCTTAAAGAACACATTTACCACCTCGAGTTTTCTTCCAGCTCAGAGATTCTGACTGCCGCTCTCACAGTCACGGTAAACTCCAGGCTTTTCTGACATGAGCTTGATTTCTTCCATGTTTATCCTCCAGCCAGGCGCTGAGAAAGCTCCTAGCCTGACTGCTCTGATTCCTTTCTCACAGGAGAAGCTGCAGAGCGCTCTGAACAACCTGATGACAAAGCAGGAAGAAGCTGAGAAGTTGAAAGCTGGCATCCAACAGGAGATAACTTCCTGGAAGGCAAGAGGAGATACTTTTCAGGGAGTTAGCCAGAAATTACGGACCTCTCTAACTTTATTTTCTTGATAGTTGATAAGTCAAGAAGTTATTTTATTAGTCCCTGTGAGTGTCCTGGAAAACTGTCTTAAAGCTAAGCCACATGCAGACATCCCATTTTGGGTTAGGGTTGGCCTTGGTAATACTACCAAAAGGACATTACAAAAGGGAAGTAATAGGAAAAATAGGCTTTTATAAGAATTGTTCCTCTGCTTCTGTATCCCTTCTGAATGCCCCTCTCTATTCCCATTCCTGAAGAATCAACTGCAGAAAGAGAGACAGAATATTCAAGCAGAGTTTAAACATCTGAAAGACATTCTGGATTCTGAGGAGCAGGATGAACTGCAGAAGCTGGAGGAAGAGAAGGGGCATATTCTGAAGAGTATGGAAGAGTCCAAGCATGAGCTGATCCAGCAGAGCCAAGTTATACAAAATCACATCTCAGACTTGGAGAATTGCTTGCAGAGACCAACAATTGAGATGCTGCAGGTAAGACTTGTAAAGTCTCAATATCCAGCATTCAGGGAAAATGAAGATATTTGCTTTTTTTCTGTGTTTCTGTGTTCCTTCTGTTAGTAGCATTAAAGTTTTAGGGTTCTAAAGTACTGCACAGAATGAACTTCAGAGGCTATAGGAATAATTGCATTATGAATAGCAAGGGAAATTACATTTTTATGAATGTATCAAATACAGTGAAAAATTTGACATTGGAGAGAAAAATCCACTGTATCCAGTGATTTTTCAAAAAATTTTAAAGTTTTGGGACCGGTGCCATAGCATAGTGGAGAAAGCCGCTGCGTGCAGTGCTGGCAGCTGGTACCCGGCTGCTCCACTTCCAATCCAGCTCTCTGCTATGGCTTGTGAAAGCAGTGGAGGATGGCCCAAGTCCTTGGGCCTCTGCACCCATGTGGGAGACCTGTAAGAAGCTCCTGGCTCCTCGCATCGGATCAGCCAGCTCTGGCTGTTGCGGTCATTTGGGGAGTGAACCAGCAGGTGGACGATCTCTCTGTCTCTTTCTCTGTCTCTGCCTCTCTGTAACTCTGCCTTTAAAATAATAAATAAATAAATCTTTTAAAAAATTTTAACGTTTTACTTAGTTGAGAGGCAAAGAATAAGAAAGAGAAATTGAGAAAGCCCCTATCCATTGGTTCACTCCCCCAACATCCACAAAGCTCAGAACTTGGTCAGGACAAAGACAAGACTGGGAATTCAATTTAGTTCTCTTACAAGGGTGGCAGGAACCCAATTACTTGAGCCATTTCTGCTGCATCTCAGGGTCTACATTGATAGGAAGCTGGAGTTAGTGTTTGGAACTAGGAATCAAAATGTCTTAACTACCATACTAAACACCTGTTCCTGTTCAGTGATATTTTAAAGGCACCTATGCTCTGTGATCTACCATTAGGCACCTTTTCAGCATTCAGCTTAGTCACTGGTAAGATAAATTACACTCTGAATTTTAAGAAGGATTTTTATTTTTTGACCTTGTAGAATGAGTACAGACTTTTCCCCACTTTCTTGGTTTCCTAAAAAAAAATTGCAAACTGGCTTTATTTCTTCTGTAAATATTTAGTGGAATTCACTAGTAAAACCTTCTCTGTTTGCCTTTTTTCTTCTTTTTGGAATGGTATAAAATTTAAATTGTTTTCTACTAGCATTAGATTTATTTGAATTTTCTATACTTCTTAAGTCAATTTTTGGCAAAATATACTTCTGGAATTTGTTCATTTCATCTAAGTTTTCAAATTTATAGGTCTAAAGTGATAAAAATTCTTTATGATCTCTTTCATTTAAAAAAAGTTATTTATTGATATGAAAGGCAGAGTGACAGAGAGAGAGGTAAAGACAGAGAGAGAGAGAGTCTTCCATCATCTGCTGGTTGACCCTAAAAATGTCCAAACAGCCAAATCTGGGCCTGGTTGAAGCCAGAAACCAGGAACTCCATTGGGGTTTCCCATAGGGATGCAGGGTCCCAAGTACTTGGATCATCTTCTGCTGCCTTCCAGGCACATAAGCAGGCAGCTAGATGGGAATTGGAGTATCTAAGATTAGAACAGGCACTGCAGTATGGGATGCTGATGTAGCAAGCGTCAGTTGAACCCACCATGCCAGCCTGTAATTTTTATTTTTTATTTTGTTAACTATTCATTTTAATAAATAAATACACATACTGATAAAATATCGATCACGTAGAAAATGCTAGTTTCTAAAATTTATTTGAGAGACAGAGAGAAAGAGACAAAAAGAGACAGTACCCGTCCACTGATTCAGTACCCAAATGCCCACAACTTGGTTAGGGCAAAAGCAGGAGCCAACATCTCAATCGAAATCTCCAGTGGTGTCAGGAACCCAATTACTAGAGTCATATTGCTGCTCCCTAAGGTCCAATTAGAAAGACATTTCACTCAGGATAGAGTACTGGGTGTGGAACTCAGGCACTCCAGTGTGGGATGTGAGCATCATCACCAATGCCTTAACCTTTAGGCCAGACAGCCACTCCCAAAATATTTACAATTATTTACATTGTGAAACGGCTAAAGAGAGCTAATTAACATATGTATTGCATCACAATCTTATAATTTTTTTGTGTGGTGAGAACACTTAAAATCTACTCTGCAATTTTCTAAAATACAAAATGTTTTAACTGTAGACATCATTTTGTGTAATAGTTCTCTTGAAGACTGTCCCTCTATCTAATTGAAATTGTGTACCTTTTGACAATATCTGCCTGGTTCACCCTGTTCTACAGCCCCAGGAAACCCTTCTTTCTCTCTCTACTTCTAGGATATCATCTTTTTTTACATTTTAAATAGTTAAGTGATTGACTGTTTTATGTTCTACATATGAGAAAGGTCATGTAATATTTGCCTTTATATGCCTGGCTTTTTCACTTAACATGAAGTCTCCCAAGTTCATTCACACTGTTACAAGTGATAATATTTCCTTCCTTTTTATCTTTTTAAGTAACATTTTTAACTAATTAATTTTAATTTTATTTGAAAGGCCAAGAGACAGAGAAATAGAGATCTTCCATACAATGGTCCACTTCCCAAATGTCTGCCACAGCTGGGGCTGGGCCAAGCCAAAGTTAATGAGCTTGAAACTCCATTCAGATCTCTCATGTGGATGGCAGGGAACCTGGGAGTTGAACCATCATCTGTTTTGTTATCTCCCAAGACACATTAGCAGGAAGCAGAATCAGAAAAAGAAGAGCCAGAACCTCAACCAGCGACTCCAATACGGGATGTAGGTGTTCTAAGAGGCAACTGAATCACTGTGCCAAATACCCACCACCATCCTTCCTTTTAAAAGGCAGAATAGTTTTCCATTTTTGCACATATACCATATTTTCTTTATCCTTTCATCCATCAATATATACTCATCTTAATTCCTTATCTGGACTACTGTGAATAATGCTGCATAAATAATAGCACTTGGACATGGCTTATTTCATAGCCTTTCAATATATCCATAAGAGTAGATCAAATGGTAATTTCCATATTGTTTTCTAGAATGGCTGTACTAATCTATTTTGCCACCAACAGTGAGCAAGTGTTCCTTTTTCTCTATATCTTCAACTACCATATCCTGTCCGTGTACTTCAGATTAATACCAACTTCATTCCTGTAAAATACTGAAACTTGCCTTTGATATTATTTTTCTTCTTTCCTTACCCTTTGTGTTTTTCTTGTCATATATTTATATGGATCATAAACAAATGTCATAAACCTATCAATACTGTATTTAAATCTTGTGTTAGTTTGTCTTTTAAATTTACTAGGAAAATAAATTAGAAAATAAAGAGGCTTTTATATTAAAATACTTTATAGTTTTTAATTCTATGAATTGGAATCACTCTTTGGAGAAATTTTCTTCCTGATGGAATAACCTTTAGAAAATATCATTTTAAGATACACATGCTAGGCCGGCACTGTGGCGCAGCAGGTTAAAGCCCTGGCTTGAAGCGCCGGTATCCCATATGGGCGCCGGTTTGAGTCCCAGCTGCTTCACTTCCCATCCAGCTCTCTGCTATGGCCTGGGAAAGCAGTAGAAGATGGCCTAAGTCCTTGGGGCCCCTGCATCTGTGTGGGAGACCTGGAAGAAGCTCCTGGCTCCTGGCTTCGGATTGGCACAGCTCCGGCCCTTGTGGCCAGTTGGGGAGACCTCTCTTCTCACTGCTTCTCCTCTCTGTGAAACTCTGACTTTCAAATAAATGAATAAATCTTAAAAAAAAAAAAGATTCACATGCTAGCAGCAAATTCAGTGTTTATCTTACAATAAATATGTACTTTTTCTGCATTTCTGAACAGGCTTATTGCTTTATATGGAATTCTGGATTGATGATTTTTTTCTTTCCATCCTTTCAATGTGTCAATCTAGTCCTTTCTGATCTCTAGTGTTTCAAATGAGAAGTCAGCCATTCATAATTTCAATAGCATTCTTTAAGAGATGATTGGTTTTACTCTTACTGCTTTAAGAAAATTCTTTTATTTTAGCTGTTAAAAGTTTATATATTAGCTGGCGCCGTGGCTCACTAGGCTAATCCTCTGCCTGAGGCACTGGGACTCTGGGTTCTAGTCCTGGTTGGGGCACCAGTTCTGTCCCAGTTGCTCCTCTTCCAGTCCAGCTCTCTGCTGTGGCCCAGGAAGGCAGTGGAAGATGGCCCAAGTGCTTGGGCCCTGCACCTGCGTGGGAGACCAGGAGGAAGTACCTGGCTCCTGGCTTCGGATGGGTGCGGCGCCCTGGCTGTGGCGGCCATTTGGGGGTGAACCAACGGAAGGAAGACCTTTCTCTCTGTCTCTCTCACTGTCTAACTCTGCCTGTCAAAAAAAAAAGTTTATATATATTGTATTTGCATGTGGATTTCCTATTTGACTTGGGACTCATGGAGCTTAAGTGAGTGTATTATTGTTTTTACAGAAGTTTTAAAGTCTGTTCCTAGTTTTTTTTTTTTTTCCATCTCTTCTGGACCACCTACTACAGGTGTGTTGGTACATTTGATGTCATCTCACATGTCTCAAATTCTTGTCAATTTTTTAAATCTTTCTTTCCTCTGTTCTTCAAAATGTGTTTATTGATGCAGCTTAAAGTTCAATGATTTTTTTTGTCTGCTATTGAGCTATTCTAGGCAGTGTTTCATATTTGTTATTTTACTTAAAATTTCAGGATTTTTGATTTTTAATCATTTTTACCTCCCTACTGTGATTCTCTATTTTTTAAAAGATTTATTTACTTATTTACCAAAAGGCAGAGTGACAGTGTGTGTGGAGGTGGGAGAGAAACACAGAGAGAGAGAGAGAGATTTCCATCCACTGATTCACTCTGCAAATGGTCACAGCAACAGATGCTGAGCCAGACTGAAGCCAGGAGCTAGAAATTCCATCTGGGTCTCTCCTGTGTGTGACAGAGGCCCAAGTACTTGGACCATCTTTCACTTCCACTGCAGGCAGCTAGCAGGCAGCTGGATTGAAAGCCAAGCAGCCAGGACTCGAGCTGGGACTTCAGTGTGGGATGCCAGTGCCTGAAACAGCAGCTTAACCTGCTGCACCACAACGCTGGCACTCAGGATTGTCTCTGTCTCTGAATCATTGTTTTCATGCTTTATGCCTCAATCTGAATTCTCTTATTTTAACGTAATTACAATAGTTCCTTTGAAATCTTGATGTCCTAACTTTGACATCTGTGGTCACTCGGAGATATTTTGTAGTTTTTTTTTTTTTTTAAAGATTTATTTATTTGAAAGTCAGAGTGAAACAGAGAGAGAGAGAAGTCTTCCATCTGCTGGTTCATTCCCCAACTGGCTGCAGTGGCTGGAGCTGCACCGATCCGAAACTAGGAGCCAGGAGCTTCTTCCGGGTCTCCCACACAGGTGCAAGGCCCAAGGCCTTGAACCATCTTCTACTGCTGTCTGAGGCCATAGCAGAGAGCTAGACAGGAAGTGGAGCAGCCAGGACTCTAACCCATGTGGGATGCCAGCACTGCAGGCAGCAGCTTTACCCACTACACCACAGCACGGCCCCAATATTTTGTACTTTTGTTTGGTATTTTTCCCATAAGTATAGGCCTTATTTTCTTGTTTCTTTGTATGTTTCATAAATTTTAGTTGTTAAACACATTTTTATGGTATTGTGTTCTTTCTCTGTATTTTTTTAAAGATTTATTTTATTTATTTGAAAGACAAAGTTACAGAGAGAGATAGAGACAGAGAGATAGGTTTTCCATCTTCTGGTTCACTCCCCAGATGGCCGCAACGGCTGGAACTGTGCCGATCTGAAGCCAGGAGCCAGGAGTTTCTTCTGGGTCTCCCACACGGGTGCAGGGGCCCAAGGACCTGGGCCATCTTCTACTGCTTTCCCAGGCCATAGCAGAGAGCTGGATGGGAAGTGAAGTAGCCAGGACTCGAACTGGCGCCCACATGGGATACCGGCGCTTCAGGCCAGGGCTTTAACCTGCTGCGCCACAGCGACGGCCCCTTTCTCTATATTCTTATTTGTTCCTTCCAAGAAGTTTGTTTTTATTTTTACATTTAGTTACCTTTTTTTTTTTTAAAGATTTATTTATTTATTTGAAAGGCAGAATTACAGAAAGGCAGAGGCTGAGAAAAAGAGAGAGAGAGGTCTTCCATCTGCTGGTTCACTCCCCAGATTGCCACAATGGCCGGAGCTGTGCTGATCCGAAGCCAGGGGCCAGGAGCTTTCTTGGGGTCTTCTACACGGGCACAGGGACCCAAGGACTTGGACCATCTTCTACTGCTGTCCCAGGCCACAGCCACAGCATAGAGTTGGATCAGAAATGGAACAGCTGTGATTTGAACCGGCATCCATATGAGATGCCGGCACTACAGGTGGCAGCCTTATGCCCTATGCCACAGTACCGGCCTCCACATTTAGTTAATTTTTTTCCAGGGCTGCAGGTGTCACTGCTGAGTTTAAATAAACATGAAGTGTAATTTTAAAGAATAGTATCTTATATTTCCCAGGTGTGCCAGTGTATCTCTGATTAAATTCTAGGCTGAAGAGAAATGATACAAATACTCAGGCCCTTCAACATAGGAAGACTTCTGCCCTCTACCATTGCATCAGTGTTTGGACACAGGAGTGAATTCAAAGTTCAAGTCATTTTCAGATCTGTTGTGTTCTTTCAGCTTTCCTATTCATGTGTGTCCATCTGTAGCCTGGCCAGGACTATATGTCATTTAGCCCAACTTAAATTGGTATATGTTATTCTTTTTTTTACAGCAATAACACAGTGATGCTTTTAGGATGGACATCTGAGTTAATACAGAAAAATAGGAAAGCTCAGAACTTTTTGTCAAAACTTAGAAGTTCTGTGATGGGTTTATATAAGAAGAATTCATTCTTGCATGTCCTTCAGGTATTGTGAATAAAGTAAATAAATAGAATTTGCAGTAGAATGTAGACCAGATCTGGATGACAAGTTTTGAGCTGAAAAATTGAAGTATAGCTAAAGTTACAATTACCCTCTCCAAAGTTCTTTTTGCCATTTAATTTAGTCTTTTTTGGTTTATGTGAAGGCAACATAATAGAAAAACCATATGTTTTTAGGTGTGTGTGTGTGTGTTTATGTGTATGTGTAGGCCTGGGTTTTGCCTTAGTTTTTAGAGAAAACTTTTAATTGGAGGAAAAGATCAATTATATTGACACATGTCTTTCCAAACAGGTAAAACAGGATGTGCAATGGTAAAGAAGAGTAAGTGGCTGAAAAACATTAAGAATATAGACTCATCTGACCTGTCCTTTTTAGGACACTGACAAAGTGATATTGGCAAAATTCTAGACAGTGGGGTAGAAGAGAAGACAGTATGACTGGTGTTACATATCCTGAGTTGTTGGACCTTATGGCTTCTTTATTAGTAAATATATCAATTGTATTTAAGTGGCAAATCTGAGTAAAAACAGAGAATTGGAAATTGAGTGCACATATGTATATTTGAATTTAAGGAGGTGGGTAAGATCAATTATGGTTAGTTTATAATATAGGAAGAGAGAAGCTCAAGACAAACCTGTACCTGTTTGATTTGAGAACTATTATTTACTCATTGATGACTCTCTAAAGCCTAGCATGGTGCATCAGTTTTCATGTATGTTGAATAAATGAAAGAACTATAGATTATTTAAATAATTACATGGGTAGTCACACATTTGTGAGGGAAAATGTGGATTTCTTCTTTGCTTTTTCCAATCCTCAGATAACAGAAGCCACTTGCTGAACACAAGGGTCAAAGCGGTTTCTATTTTTTTTAAATGTTTATTACTTATTTGAAAGGCAGAGTGACAGAGAGAAGGAGGGAGAGACAAACAGAAAAATAGATTTTCCATGTTCTGGAACACTCTCCAAATGGTTGCAATGGCTGGAGTTGAGCCAGACCAAAGTCAGAAGTTGGAACTTCATCTGGGTCTTCCACATGGATCACAGGAGTCCAAGGTTTGGGTCATCACCCTCTGCACTCCAAGGCACTTTTACAGGGAGCTGAATTGGAAGCAGAACAACTGGGACTTAGGAACTGAGTCTCCAGTATCAGTTGTCATTGTCTCAAGGGGCAGCTTAACCTGCTGTACCACAACTTCAGTTTATAATTTGATTCTACCACGTATTAAAACAACAACAACAACAAAAAAAACATTTATTTGAAAGAGTTAGGAGAGACAGAGAGTTAGATCTTCCATATGCTGGGTCACTCCTCAGATGGCTGCAATGGCCAGGGCTGGACCAGGCTGAAGCCAGGAGGTCCGTCCTGGTCTCCCACAGGGTTGGCAGAGGCCAAGACACTTGGGCCATTTTCCATTTCTTTTCTCAGGCCACTATTAGGGATCTGAATGGGAAACTGAGCAGCCCAGACATGAACTGGCACCCATACTGGATGCCAGCTTCACAGGTGGTGGCTTTGCCCACTACAGCACAATGTTGCCCCCTGCTACAGATATTTAAAGAGTTAGATCAAGTGTGTGACTGTCCTGAGAAGAGAGGCTAAGGGAAGAACCTGCGATTTCTAAGTATGGGTAGCAGACACAGACGGGCAGATATTATGTGTTGATATGTAGTCTTTCCATATTTTGGGAAACTGACAACCTTACATGAACCTGCTGAGGTGATTATCTTGAGTCTTATAATTACTTCTCTTTCACACTGGGACCATGTCCATTTTCAGCACATCAAGGGCTATTGGGATGTGATGAAGCATTGCAAGCAAGGGATGCCTATTATTACTCATGTTTTTTTCTGTTCTCCTCAGGATGTGAATGACATCATTTACAGGTACGTGTTGTGTGAATCCAGGGATGGTCCTGTGATGCTGTGAGAAGAGATTTGTAGCCATTAGAATTATTTAATATTCATATAGAAAAAAAAAGACCCAGGGTGGGGAAATTTATATGTCATGATATCCCAAATTTCTGATGATAATTCTCAGATTGACTGTTCTGCAACTACATGGAACAGACAAGATTCTATGGTCGAGAATTTGAGTTGTGGAAGTCACAGGTTTGCTGTCAGTATTGATATTAGGGATAAGATATATTAGTGTCAGACCCCTGTGATATCACTATGGAATTTACCCTCTGTTCCTTCAACTAGATCTGTTTATGTACATAAAAATAATATTCTGGAGGGCGTGTATCGTTTTTGTCTGCTAAGTACCCATAATGTCCAGTGAGACAGTTCTTGCATATTTTTTCCCCTCTGGCAATAGAAGTGATCAGGTCCTTCTTCGTGGTTCTATTTAGATATTCAAAAACAGATTTGAATCTCTTGGAACAATGCTTTCGTTCCCTCATACAAACACTTGATCCATCTTAGTTGTCAGATACTTTCAAAGAGTGTGGAAAGGTGTCATTTTGATGTCTAAACCTTTGTAAAATCAAACTCCTTCCAAACACATGGAACTCAGACTAGTATTACTTTGCTGTTTGTAATATGTCCTTTGTGAGGTGTTTGTAATTTTCACCCAGATAGTCTGGGATCTCAGGTGTTGTCTGAGGGCCAGGCTGTTTTTTGAACAGTCTTTGAAGATCTTGGGAATCCCCAGATAGGAAGCCACATTTGATATGTCTCAAACTTCCAGGAATCAGTTTCTACAACCTCACTTTCTATCTCCCTTGGAACCTCTACCCAAGGCATTGATTCTACCACATATTAAATACTTTATAAGGTAACAAAGTTTGACTTCATTTTCATTTTCAGGTCTATAATTGCATCTTCCTCTATGAGTCTAGGATATGCAGAGGGTGAATTTAATTATTTCATTTTAGAAAGAAGAAATTGCTTCTGAGAGGTCCAGATCTGTTCAGGTTCACACAGGCAAAATAGATGGAAAAGTGAACATCAGAAAATTCCTTCTGGCAGGATTCTACCCTCTCCCTTCTCAAGAACCCCCTTAGAGAGGATTCCAGTGCATTAGTGGAGTAAAATGATAAGAAGCTGATGTTAGGGGAACACAGGGTCAGAGGTGTGGAGGTCAATTTTGTCTTTTTGCATTTTAGGACTGAGACCTTCACCTTGAAGAAGCCAAAAACTTTTCCTGAGAAAGAAAGGAAATCATTTCAAATTCATGAGCTGAAAAGGACAATGCAGATGTTTCAAGGTTAGGAGAGCTAGATCCAGTGTCTGGCTGTGGATGAGGAGATACTAAGTGGGAAAGCGGGTACAGTTCGTAGATATGTATTGAAGAGACAAGGGAGGATGCACGTTGTGTGGTAATGTGGTCCTATTTAATGGGGAACCACAAGGTCCTGGTTCACTGTCCTACTGTTGTCCTCTCTCCTTCCCCTAATCTGGTGAAGAAATAGATTTCAGTGCTGTCTTATTTGCTTATATTCAGTACTATGATTTTTATCATTTCAGACCTGAGACATGCCCAGCGCTATTGGGGTAAGTGTACATCACAATATTACAAGCCATCCTGTTGCCATCTTTCAGAATTTTGTTCTCTAGTAAGTCTCATGTTGATCACTCATGTTTCTCTTTTCAACACACATGGAGTTTCTGCAGTGTTCTGCCTCTGCCGATGACCAAAGTTCCACCAAGTTCCAAACTCTCAAGTTCTTCTCAAGATTATTCTCATAACATACAAATAACTACATCATGTCCCTAACCTAACCCTCTATTTTTCTACAGTTCACGTGACATTGACTCCAAGCAACAATCAAAATATTGTCGTTTCTGAGAATAAGAGACAAGTGATGTATGTGCATTACCATCAACGTCTCAATTTATTTTCTCTTAGTGATGATCATGGCTTTCGATATGGGACTAGGCAGAATTATTTTGATGGCATCCTGGGTTGCCCAAGTATCACATCAGGGAAACATTACTGGGAGGTGGATGTGTCTGGGAAAAGTGCCTGGATCCTAGGTGTATATGGCCCACCCTTATTGCAAACCACAACATCGTTTGCTTATGAACAAGTTTCAAAGTATCGGCCTATAAATGGCTACTGGGTAATAGGGTTGCAAATTCAATATATTTCTTTTGAGGAAAATGCCATTTCCTTAACACCCATTGTTCCTCCTTCTCGTATTGGAGTTTTCATAGACTATGAGGCTGGCATTGTCTCATTTTTCAGTGTTACACAGCACAAGTTTCTCATATATAAGTTCTCTGCGTGTTCTTTTTCTAAGGAAGTTTTTCCATATTTCAATCCTATGCATTGTCCAAAGCCCATGACAATCTGCGAGTTGAGCTGTTGAGCCTCCTTATACCCTCCACTTCAGTGTGGTATCTCTTACCCTGGGGTACATCTCTTGTGTCTAAGCCCATCTGTACCATTTTAACTATTTTTTCCTTTTGAGTGTTTCCATCCTTTCCATTTGAATGTTTTTCATTCACTGTAAATAAATGGTTTCTAATAATATGTATCAGTTTACTTTCAAAATTGTTTCCTCCACCATGTTTTAAGAAATAGAATAACTTGATTAAAGAATCACAAATTATTTATTTTTAGCAAATTGTAAATAATTGTCTCTGTATAATTAAAAAATTGTTCCTATCAAGTGCATAGCTGTGTCATCTTTTATTTTTTATTTCTGCAATAATTCTGCTTCATTGGAAATCTTTTACTGTGTTTATTTAAAGTGTTGTTTAAAGACTTGTTTGCGGGGGCCGGTGCCGTGACTCACTTGGTTAATACTCCACCTGCAGTGCCGGCATCCCATATGGGTGCTGGGTTCTAGTCCCGGTTGCTCCTCTTCCAGTCCAGCTCTCTGCTGTGGCCTGGGAAGGCAGTGGAGGATGGCCCATGTCCTTGGGCCCCTGCACCCACGTGAGAGACCAGGAAGAAGCACCTGGCTTCTAGCTTCAGATAGGCATAGCTCCTGCCTTAGTGGCCATTTGGGGGGTGAAGCAACGGAAGGAAGACCTGTCTCTCTGTCTCTCTCTCTCTCACTGTCTATGAAATAAAATTTAAAAAAAGACTGATTTGCCAGGCCAAAGCTAGGAGCCTGGAATTCTATCCAGGTCTCCCATGTTTGTGCAAGTGCCCAGGGACTTGAACCATCATCCTCTGTTTTTCTAGATGCATTAGCCTGGAGCTGGATTAGAAGTGGAGCAGCTGGGACTCAAACTGCTGCACATTTTGGATGCCAGTGTTGAAGGTAGCAGTTTAACTCACTGTATCACAATGGCAGTCCCTCTGTTTATTTTTTAAATGAATTTTAAAATATATTTTGCACAGTGGTACAAGGAGAGGCAGAAGTTGAATTCTGAAAATTCTTGATTATAATGTAGGTAAGTTTTGCTGATTACCTTCAGTCTTTTTTTTTAAACTTTTATTTAATGAATATAAATTTCCAAAGTACAGCTTATGGATTACAATGGCTTCCTCCCCATAATGTCCCTCCCACCCACAACCCTCCCCTTTCCCACTCACTCTCCCCTTCCATTCACATCAAGATTCATTTTCGATTCTCTTTATATACAGAAGATCAGTTTAGCATACATTATGTAAAGATTTCAACAGTTTGCTCACACACAGAAACATAAAGTGAAAAACACTGTTTGAGTACTAGTTATAGCATTAAATCTCAATGTACAGCACACTAAGGACAGAGATTCTACATGAGGACACACAGTGCACAGTGACTCCTGTTGTTGAATTAACAATTTGACACTCTTGTTTATGGCCTCAGTAATCACTCTAGGCTCTTGTCATGAGCTGCCAAGGCTATGGAAGCCCCCTGAGTTCACTGACTCTGATCATATTTAGACAAGGCCATAGTCAAAGTGGAAGTTCTCTCCTCCCTTCAGAGAAAGGTACCCCCTTCTTTGAAGACCTATTCTTTCCACTGGGATCTCACTTGCGGAGATCTTTCATTTAGTTTTTTTTTTTTTTTTTCCCCCGGAGTGTCTTGGTTTTCCATGCCTGAAATAATCTCATGGGCTTTTCAGCCGGATCCGCATGCCTTAAGGGCTGATTCTGAGGCCAGAGTGCTGTTTAGGACATCTGCCATTCTATGGGTCTGCTTGTGTATCTCACTTCCCATGTTGGATCGTTCTCTCCCTTTTTTATTCTATCAGCTAGTATTAGCAGACACTATTCTTGTTTATGTGATCCCTTTGGTTCTTAGTCCTATCATTATGATCAATTGTGAACAGAAATTGATCACTGGGACTAGTGAGATGGCATTGGTACATAACACCTCGATGGGATTGAATTAGAATCCCCTGGTATGTTTCTAACTCTACCGATTGAGGTAAGTCAACTTGAGCATGTCCTGAATTGCACATCTCTTTTTTTTTCTTTTAAGATTTATTTTATTTTCTTTTAGATGTACCATTACAGAGAGAGGGAGAGACAAAAAAGAGGTCTTCTATCCACTAGTTCCCCTCCCAAATGGCCACAACAGCAAGAGCTAGGCTGATTGGAATCCATGAGCTTTTTCTGGGTCTCCCACATGGATGCAGGGGCTCAAAGACTTGGGCCATGTTCTATTGCATTCCCAGGTCATAGCAGAGAGCTGGATCAGAAGTGGAGCAGCCAGGATTTGAACCAGTGTCCATATGGCATGTCAACACTGCAGATAGCAGCCTTACCCACTATGCCACAGCACCAGCCCTGAGATAGGGCCTTTAAGGAGGCAGTTAGGTGCAGGGGCCCAAGCACTTAGACCCTCTTCATTGATTTCCTGGGCCATTAGCAGAGAGCTGGATCAGCCCACATGGGATGCTGGCACCACAGGCAGAGGCTTAATCTACTATGCCACAGCACTGGCCCTGACCTCAGTCTTCATTGAGGTGAAAGGAATGAAGGAAAAATCCTGTTCCACTTCAGTGAGATAGGAGGGGAAATGTTTCTGCAGTGGGTGTTCATGTAGAGATCAGTGGGTTCCCCATGTTTTTTGATATTTTTATTCCCATCTCTTACTTGAGTTCTGGGCTAGAAAAATTGTAGACTTTTTGATCAAGCCAGTATCTGTTCTCAACCACACCTGGCCATAGGAATTCCAAATTTCTTCATCTTTGGGTGAACTTTGTTGAGAGAAGGATTCGAAGATGAATATATCCAGTATCTCTGTGTGTACACCCCTTTACCTGAGCACTCATACATGGAAACGGGGGCAAATAAAGCCTGTAAATTTCCCCTTACACCTTACCTTCTGATCTCCCGTTGCTATGATGATGGAATACCTCAATTATTAGGAACACTATTTATTTAACTACTTGTACTATCTTTTTTTTTTTTTTAACAGAGTGAACAGTGAGAGAGAGAGACAGAGAAAAGTCTTCCTTTTTCCGTTGGTTCACCCCCCAATGGCTGCTGCCACCAGCGCATCGTGCTGATCCGAAGCCCAGAGCCAGGTACTTCTGGTCTCCCATGCGGGTGCAGGGCCCAAGCACTTGGACCATCCTCCACTGCACTCCCGGGCCACAGCAGAGAGCTGGACTGGAAGAGGGGCAACCGGGACAGAATCTGGCACTAGAACCTGGGGTGCCAGTGCCACAGGCGGAGGATTAGCCTATTGAGCTGCAGCACCAGCTTACTTGTACTATCTTAAGTTGCTGACGGGTCACTCTCCATGGACATTTATTCTGTCTTTTCATTTACTGTACTGCTCAGTCCCTCACTTCAGAAAGAAGTAATTACAAGGAAATAAAGACCTGAATTTGTAAATACAACAGAAAAAATTACACAGTGAGGGTATTCACTTTTTAACAGAGGATCCTAGACCCAGAAATTAATACCTTTGCTAAAAAGAATATGAAACCTATAGATGTCCCAGCTATTTTGTGTCTTGGCAATAAAAGGCTGCAGAAGATATCTTGGAATCTAAAGTCCACTGGACAAAAACTATAAATTGCTGTTTCCCTGTGTATTAGTTCCATGACTTTCTCCTCTTTATCACTGAACCTCAAAGTAGCAATAATGCTAGCTTGTATTCTGGTACCTTAGTTCTGTGCTGGGCTAATAATTACATAGATGTGTGAACACCGTGGAGTATTTGAGTGTGCTTAGGAGACTCAAGGCATAAGGGACCTTCAGTCTACAGGGTAATTCATGGGCAAGATGCAAACAGTGGTCCTAAAAGCCATCATCAGATAGTGATCATTCTGGGAACCTGAAATCTTTACTAGAATGGACACAAGATCTACACCCATTGATATAGTACGCCAATGAACACCTTCCATTTTTCCCAAGGATATTGCTGTGTAGTGTCTTCATCCTAATGCCTAATCTTACCATGTTGTCCAATGCCAGGTCATGTTTAATGTCAGTATCAACAATCACTGCTCCCCTTTTCCATGCCTCTTCTGAACTGTGTGCCCTTCCAGTTCAGATGACTCTTATGTATGTCTTCATGGGATAGGAAGTGAGGCATTGTTTTTATACTTAGTGTTGCTTTGCCACCACTGAGACCCTCCAGGTGCATTCCTAGGTAAACAGACAGGATTTTAAGGAGTTAGTTATTTCACATATCTCATATAAATGTGGAATCTGAGGAACCAGAGACTTGAGTAGAGTCAGAAAAGTTGACCTTTCAGATCTAATCCAAAGGCAACCTGGGAGCTGAATTTTTTCCTTATGGAGAAGATACCTGTCTTTTCTCTTAAGGCTTTCAACTGATTGAACGAGGCCCTCCCCTTTTGGGAAGCAGATTTGTTTTACTCAAAGTTGACTGTTTTAAATGTTAATGTTATCTAAAATAACTACATAGTAACATCTGGCCTAGTGTTTATCCAAAAATTATGGCATCCCATCGCTCAGCTAAGTTGACATGATAATAGGCATTGCAGGTTCATTAATTTTCAACTTTGTACCCATAAACATCATAAATCACACTTAATCTTTAAATGAAGATAATAACAAGGCCATGCTTAACCACCCAATGTGATCCACTGTCCTTTGTACTACCAACTCACATTAGCTCTTTCTTCAGGTGAGGATGAAGGTCTTTGAGTAGTGTTAACTCTTTTCCTTGATATATTATAATGTAACTACTAGACTGTTAAGTTATAGTAATGCTTAAATTCTGTGATAAAAGTGAATATATTTTTTGTTACTTATGAGATGGAGGTGAAAGCATTTTATATACATGCCCAGAAAAAAAAAAAAAAACAGAGTAAGAAAGACTCTTAATAATTGTAGTCTTCATTTCTGTAACTGGCCGTGTATTCACAGCTGGTCTTTGTAACTACTCATTCTAATATTAATCATTTTGTATTCCCTTTGCTGTCAGCAAGCAGCTCACCTTTTTCTTGTTCTTTCACTGGTGAGATAACCCAAACTTCTGAAGGGTCTTTGCAATGAGTAGTACTGCCTGAATTGGGTTTGCATTAGACTGTTTAGGTGACCATAATAAAAAAACCATTGACTAAGTGGCTTAAATAATATAAAAACAATTTTTTAACAGTTATGGGGATTAGAATTACATGATCAAGTTGCCAGCAAGATTTATGCTGAGTTTAGTTTCTCCCATTAAATTGTCTTTTTTATGTGCTCACATGACCTCCTCCTTAAGTACATGTGGAAAGTCAGGGAGAACATTTAGTATTTTTGTGAAAGTACTAGTCATTTTGGCCACCTTTATGATTTCATGTAACTACTTCCTTAGAGGGTCCATCTTCAAATACAGCCACTGTACATTTCAGCATATAAATTTGTGGTATTGGGGATACATTCAGTACTTAAAAGGGGTATTGAAGTTTTCCGATGACATTTAACACAGGGCATGGTAATATTAAGAAACATTCTATATGACTGCTTGTATTCCAGACATATTATTCCTTACCTCCATTGGAATAAAAGTTCCATTTCCCCTGCAGAGATGAGATCAGTCACCACCCCCACCCCACACCACCCTCAATCAGTATAGTATCTCTCTCTGCCTATTAATTTGGAGGCATGAGGGACCTAAGCTGGTCAGTGTCAGTGTTAACTTCCAGTTCAGTGCAATCACTATATATCTACTGGTGGAAGCATTTCTTCCTTTGGAGCTAAGACCTCTATACCATCAGAAGGAAGAAATCTAGGGCCGGCGCCGCGGCTCACTAGGCTAATCCTCCGCCTAGCGGCGCCAGCACACCAGGTTCTAGTCCCGGTCGGGGCGCCGGATTCTGTCCCGGTTGCCCCTCTTCCAGGCCAGCTCTCTGCTGTGGCCCGGGAGTGCAGTGGAGGATGGCCCAGGTGCTTGGGCCCTGCACCCCATGGGAGACTAGGAAAAGCACCTGGCTCCTGGCTCCTGCCATCGGATCAGCGCGGTGTGCCGGCCGCAGTGCGCCGGCCGCGGCGGCCATTGGAGGGTGAACCAACGGCAAAGGAAGACCTTTCTCTCTGTCTCTCTCTCTCACTGTCCACTCTGCCTGTCAAAAAAAAAAAAAAAAAAAAAAAAAGGCAGAAATCTGTTGCACATGATAAGAGAGATCCAATATGATTAATAGACAACCAGGGTATTAGCTTACTAGAGTTGTATAAGAAAATGCCATAGATGGGGGTTAAACAACAAAACTAGAAACTAGAAGGCAAAGATCAGATTGTTAGCAGATCTGTTTTTAAGAGGCCTCTCCTTGACTTGCAGATGGTTGTTTCCTTGTCTTCTCATCTCATAGTCATTACATTGTGCTCCTGTATTTCCTGGTATCTCTTACAAAGACGTCAGTGATATTAGATTAAGGAACAACAGTTATGGACTCACTTAACCTTAATTACCTCCTTAAGGGCCCCATCTCAGGGCCAGCACTGTGGCATAGTAGGTAAGGCTGCTGCTTGCAGTGCCGGCATCCCATATGGACGCTGGTTCAAATCCTGGCTGCTCCACTTCCGATCCAGCTCTCTGCTATGACCTGGAAATACAGTAGAAGATGGCCCAAGTCCTTGGGCCCCTGCACCTGCATGGGAGACCCAGAAGAAGCTCCTGGCTCCTGGCTTCAGATCGGGCTGGCTGCAGCAGTTGCGACTATTTGGAGTGAACCAGTGGATGGAAGTCCTCCCTCTCTGTTCCTCTCTGCCTCTGCCTCTCTGTAACTCTTCTTTTCAAATAAATAAATAAATCTTTAAGATGTGCACATTAGGGGTTAGGGATTAACTTGTGAATTTGAGGAGACATAAATCAACCCATAATAATCCATCATCTAGGCTACAAAAACTTGCTTTCTTATATGCAAAATATATTCACCCCCATTCCAAAAGCCCCAAAGCCTTAGTACATTTCAGCATCAACCCAAAGTCCATAATTATATATACATATATATGATTTATATATGCATATACATATATTTGTATACATATACGATTTATATATATATATATATAAATAGGGTAGGAGTGAGACTTGGGCATGATTCTTTCTGAGGCAAAATTCTTCACCAGCTATGAATCTGTAAGACAAGATATACTATGTGCTTCCAATAGACAATGGTAAGACAGTTATAGAATGAACATTCTCATTCCAAAGTGAATAATGTGGGGGAAAAGACAGTGACAGTTGCCAAGAAAGTTCAAAACTTCTCAAGGCAAACTCTACTTAAAGTCGTGAGAATCATCTCTGAGTTGATCACTTCCCTTTAAGTCATCTCTGGTGATGGCTGGAAATACTGATATGATAATCCTGGTTGCAAATCTGCTGGGGAATTAGGCTCATCCCTTCCAGCCCTGGACAGCAGCCTTGTTTCTGAGGCACTGAACATGGCAGCCTAGCTCTCTGAAATTGAAGAGATAGCCTCATCTTTCAGATCCATGCCCTCTCAGCAGCTCATGATAGTCACGGCATCCCTACCGATTCTGAGTCACTTAGAGGATAATCCTGTTCCTGAAGGAAATTGCATATTTGCAGCTATATAGATCTTGTATACTATTCTGTAGAACCTAAGAAGTCTAATATCCTTTCATTTGCTTTTGATTTCTTTTTGTCCACTTTCATCCTAGCTGGCAATGGTCCTGCTGGTATAGCCTCTTCTCAATTCCTAACTTCAGGTTAGATGGTTCATAAAATGTGTAACCCATACCAGTGATATTTGTATCCAATGATTTTTCCACTCACTTCCTTGCTATTTTTACAGGAACACACTTTCTCATTTTTCTTACAATATAAATAGGCTGAGAAGTTTCTAAATTTTTAAGTTCTGATTTCTTTTTTCTTGATAATGACTCCAATTTATATATACTGCCTTCATTTTACTGTAAACAGCAAGGAGAAGCCAGGTACCTTCCACACTTCCTTTAAGGGGCTAGTGTTTGACTAGTGGCACAGCAGGGGGCCTGGATTTGACTCCCAACTCTGGCACCTGATTCCAGTTTCCTGCTAAAGTAACTAAGACCCTGTGACAGTGATGATGGATCAAGTGACTAGGTTCCTGCCACCAGAGAACTGGATTGAGTTCATGACTCCTGGCTTTGGGGCAACCAACAGTCTCAGCTATATGTGGGTATCTGAGGAGTGCACAAGCAGAGAAGAGCTCTCCAACTTTCTGTGAGTCTGTTTCTGTTTCCTTCTCTCTCTCAAATTACATAGTGATGAAAGGGTCAATTTAATATAATAGAGTTACTACAGTTAAATATATATACAAACAACCTCAAACCTATCTGAATATATATACATGTATTTACAGATTTGAAGAGATAAATTGACACATTCAGCATCTCAAAATGTACCAGGAAATTCAGGCAGAAAATCAATAAATAACTGGAACAACATTATAAACCAAATGAACCTCATAGACATATTTAGAACTTTCCACCCAAAAGAATATATGTTCTTAAATGCAAATAGAACACATTACATGTTATAGTACATGTATAGTACATGCATAGTACACATAACATGTTAAATTACATGTTATAGTCACAAAACAAATATTAACAAATTTAAGATAATTAAAATTGTCCAAGTAGGTTTTCTGAACACAATCACATCAAATCAGAAATCAATAATGTAGGAAAATGGGAAAATTAACAAAAGTGTGGAAACTAAACACATTCTTAAGTAATCATTGAGTTAAAGAGAACAACAAAAGGACTAGAAAAAAGTAGTAGTAAGAGTCTCTGCTTCGGGTCTCCCACATGGGTTCAGGGGCCCAAAGACTTGGGCCATCTTCTCCTGCTATCCCAGGCCAAAGCAGAGAGCTGTGGACTAGAACCGGTGCCTATGTGGGATGGCAGTGCTTCAGGCCAGCGCTTTAACCCCCTGTGCCATAGCGCCGGCCCCTTTCCTGGCATTTATTTTCATAAACTTTACTCTTACTACTACTTTTGCTATAACCCATAATGTTTGTTGTGTGATTTCATTTAGCTTTGTCCCAAAATATTTTAAAATTTCCTTTTGGGACTAGAATCCGGTGTGCCAGTGCCGCTAGGTGGAGGATTAGCCTAGTGAGCTGCGGCGCCGGCCTCTGTAATGTCTTTTACTTGCTTTATTTCTTCCCCTACTCATCTCAGATTACATAGAACTTCTTATATTTAGAACTGGTTTTCTTCAATTTTCAGCTCCAAGAACTATCCAAACTTGGTTTTTCATAATGCTTAGCCTATGTTTTATAAGTGTTAACATATGTAATGCAAAAATAATTATGAAAATTTGATGTTAGTTAATTAGATTTACAAATAAGGAAGCAGATATAAATATTGAAGAAAGGTAATTAATAGATCTTGAATTTAATCTTAGATCTTTATGATTTTGTACTCTGAACTCTTTAACTTGGTATATCTTCTTTCTCAAATGGCTCACAAACTCCTCAGACTTAATTTCTCCACAGCTGATTTTGAAACTCACTACCTTACCGTGTAAAAACACTTTCTTTTTTGTCTTCTTTTGTGTTAAGTAGAAACAGCAAAAAATATTAATTCCAAAGCCAGAAACCTGTGCCTGTCCTTTCTTTCTCCAATGCTGACAACTTCCAACAAAATTAACTCAACACCTGTGCTGCATATTTGAGTTTTAGGTACTTATAAGTCATTCAAGTGGAAATACTCCTCATATTCTCACCTTTATTATCATGGTTGAACTTGGCTTGCCCATAATTTTATTTGCCTCTTTTTGATAAACATGATACAGATAAAATATCTTTCTGAGAGTTTTTCAAAGTCTTGTTTTATATAAAAAATTTAAGTCTTCTCTTTGAAAGTCTTCCAGCCTTACTCCTTTCTGTTTACTCTCTCTGAAAAAGCCATGATAATCACTCTATAAAATATAATCCATGTA